ATTCTTTGTGGAAGTAAAGTCCGGACTGGAAAATTAGGGTTTAGCGTAGGGGAAGTATTCCGAAGGTATTTGGGGGATGATGTAGGGCAAACATAGAGTACTAATACAACCACCTCAGAAGTGAAGAAGTGAGTAGGGGTTTTCAAAATAGACGGGAATCATAAATATGGGACCCCCCTATCGTCAAAGTAAGTCCAAGATACTGGGGGGGATAGAGAGGAGGAGGTTGAGGGAAGGGGAAATGAATGTGTGTGTAAGAGTTCTGTTATTAGAAAAAAGAATTGGGAAGGCGTAAAAAAAAAAAGGTCCGGACAAAAATAAAAAAACGGGTTAACATGTGCGTGAAAGTGTAGAACCCTGGAAGGGTCTTAATCACATAAACCCCTCTCAAATGACTATCAAAATGAAAGACCAGTAGAATCCATACTAATTGCAAGAAAGACCACACAGGTAAATCTATAATTAAAATATCAGGTACTTCATATAGCGCCATCTGGATGTACGCAGCGCTTTTAAATATATATGTACAAATAATTATCCACAAAATCGTGTATTTAACCCTCGAAGTGGGGTAACAATCTAAGGTCCCTAATACACATTACAACTATCACAAAAAACAAGTTGTAGTACTAGGAAGACAATACTCACTACCACTTGCATGTCTTTGTGAGCATGTGCAGAAAACATAGCACCCGATAAGGAAACCTTCACGCTGGCACAAGCCAGCTGAAATCTTACAAAACTCCACAGTAGATGGTGCCCCATGGTTAGGATTCGTAACCTAACGACCCGGTACTGCCAGGTTGGTACCGTTTAACACCCCATTGGTGGTTATTAGCACAGCATGTAAACAAACCTGTGGACAAATAACAAAATGGAGTTTGTCTACGCTACATAAATCGGGCAGCAGGATATATTGTAGTCGCAATCCGGCAAATTTTCATGTGTCCAGAAGACCCCTGATATCTCCACTAAGAGTACCTTGTCACTCCAAGTACTGTCACATAGGAGGACTATGGGCCCCCTTGTTATAGCAATAGTCGAAGAAAAATTCAGGTATTTTGCATTGTTGGTGGCCCAGCTTGGACCCCTATAGAATGCTGGAAATCACTATTTGACCTCCGTGCTGCAGTGATCTCCTAGCTCCCGGGTCCGGTGCTGCAGTGATCTCCTAAGCTCCCGGTCCGGTGCTGCAGTGATCTCCTAGCTCCCGGGTCCGGTGCTGCAGTGATCTCCTAGCTCCCGGGTCCGGTTGCTGCAGTGATCTCCTAGCTCCCGGGTCCGGTGTGCAGTGATCTCCTAGCTCCCGGGTCCGAGTGCTGCAGTGATCTCCTAGCTCCAGACACACATCCGGTGCTGCAGTGATCTCCTCAGATCCCGGGTCCTACCGGTTGCTGCAGTGATCTCCTAGCTCCCGGGTCCCGGTGCTGCAGTGATCTCCTAGCTCCCGGGTCCGGGTGCTGCAGTGATCTCCACTAGCTCCCGGGTCCGGTGCTGCAGTCATCTCCTAGCTCCGGGTCCGGTGCTGCAGTTCATCTCCTAGCTCCCGGTCCGGTGCTGCAGTCATCTCCTAGCCTCCCGGTGTCCGTGCTGCAGTCATTCTCCTAGCTCCCGGGTCCCGTTGCTGTGCAGTCATCTCCTAGCTCCCGGGTCCGGTGCTGCAGTCATCTCCTAGCTCCCGGGTCCGGTGCTGCAGTGATCTCCTAGCTCCCGGGTCCGGTGCTGCAGTTGATCTCCTAGCTCCCGGGTCCGGTGCTGCAGTGGATCTCCTAGCTCCCGGGTCCGGTGCTGCTCAGTCATCTCCTAGCTCCCGGGTCCGGTGCTGCAGTCATCTCCTAGCTCCCGGTGGTCCGGTGCTGCAGTCATCTCCTAGCTCCCGGGTCCGGTGCTGCAGTCATCTCCTAGCTCCCGGGTCCGGTGCTGCAGTCATCTCCTAGCTCCCCGGGTCCGGTTGCTGCAGTCATCTCCTAGCTCCCGGGTCCGGTGCTGCTGCAGTCATCTCATAGCTCCCGGGTCCTGGTGCTGCAGGTCATCTCCTAGCTCCCGGGTCCGGTGCTGCAGTCATCTCCTAGCTCCCGGGTCCGGTGCTGCAGTGATCTCCTAGCTCCCGGGTCCGGTGCTGCAGTCATCTCCTAGCTCCCGGGTCCGGTGCTGCAGTCATCTCCTAGCTCCCGGGTCCGGTGCTGCAGTCATCTCCTAGCTCCCGGGTCCGGTGCTTTGTGAACACATCAGGTCGCCTGTTGGGCACAGGCCAGGGGTGGACTGACCATTCGAACACTCAGGCACTGCCTGAGGGCCCGGGGTCAGTAGGGGGCCCCATGCGATGCCCCTGGTACTTTTCATAGGCTTTTTTAGGTGTGGTTTAGGGTGTGGGCGAGGACACAGGGGCCCCATGATCCCCTATTGCCGGGGGCCCCATGAGTTGTTAGTCCGCCCCTGGCACAGGTGTCATTCAAGCAACACTTGCGTTGGGCAAGGTGGAGAGGCAGGGCAGCAACATTGAATCTCCCCCTTCTCTAGCCAGCGGCAGTCGCTGTAGTAGTTATGACTACCACCTGCCTAGAGTATGCATGTTCTCCCTGTGCCTGCGTGGGTTTCCTCCGGGTATTCCGGTTTCCTCCTACATTACAAAGACATGCCGGTAGGTGAATTGGCTCCTGTCTAGATGTGAATGTAAAATATATATGTAAAGTGACGGAGCAATACAAAATAAATCTCTCTCTTGCTTTCGGCGGGTTGTAGCGCCCACTGCGCGAGACACCTTCCAGTGACGTTGCAGTGTGCTGCTGCTGGGTTCAAGGTAAACAAGACGGTGAGGAGGCAATACATCACCTCTTCGCTCTCTGAAGAGTGATCTGAATGGGGATTGCTCTTCAAAGACCTAAGTAAATGTGAACGAGCCTTCACTGGTGAAGTGGGGACACCCCCAAAATAACTTCATAATGTGTGGGAGCAGTGCCATGAGCGTTTTATTTGGGGGCCGATCTCCATCTAGGACTATGGCTGCTTTCACACGCAGGAGTTTTTCAAGCGTTTTTTTTTGCGTTTTTAAAAGCGCCTGAAAAGCTCAAGGAAAATGCTTCCTGTGTATGTGAATGTATATTTTCCTGAGGCGTTTTTGCAGTGCGGAGTAAAAACTCCTCCTGTTTGCAGCATCTTTGTGGCATTTTTGGGGTTCCCAGTGTGATGGCAATAAAATCATAAGTTTAAAAAAAAAAAAAAAAAAAAACCCCCCAAAAATTAGTGATGCACCGAAATGAAAATTCTGGTGCCGAAACAGATACCAAAAATTCAGAATGCATGTGGCCGAAACTGAACCGAAATGTCTGCGTATGTGGGGGTGGGGAGGCTCCAATATTATTTTTTTTTTTCTACTTTTCATGAATATATATATAATTTTTTTTTTTTTTTTTTTTAACTTATGATTTTTATTGCTATCACATTGGGGACTAATATTCCCCTATGTGATAGCATATGAGTGACAGGCCCTCTTTGTAGTGGGGGGGGGGGCGCGCAAGAGAGGAGCAGTGTATACAGAGAGGCTCCCTCACTGGCTGTCACTATGTCAGTGCCGATTTTTTTTTTTTTTTTTTTTTTTTTCACTATAGCTTTTTTTTTTTTTTTCTTCACTATAGCTCACAGCTGTCACTTTCCCTGGAAAGCTAAGGGAAATATTGTTTCTTTCATCTCGGGAAATAAAGTAAAAGGAAACATTTTGTTTCTTTCATCTCGGGAAATAAAGTAAAAGGAAACATTTTGTTTCTTTCATCTCGGGAAATAAAGTAAAAGGAAACATTTTGTTTCTTTCATCTCGGGAAATAAAGTAAAGGAAACATTTTGTTTCTTTCATCTCGGGAAATAAAGTAAAAGGAAACATTTTTGTTTCTTTCATCTCGGGAAATAAAGTAAAAGGAAACATTTTGTTTCTTTCATCTCGGGAAATAAAGTAAAAGGAAACATTTTGTTTCTTTCATCTCGGGAAAATAAAGTAAAAGGAAACATTTTGTTTCTTTCATCTCGGGTAAAAGGAAACATTTTTGTTTCTTTCATCTCGGGAAATAAAAAGGAAACATTTTGTTTCTTTCATCTCGGGAAATAAAGTAAAAGGAAACATTTTGTTTCTTTCATCTCGGGAAATAAAGTAAAAGGAAACATTTTGTTTCTTTCATCTCGGGAAATAAAGTAAAAGGAAACATTTTGTTTCTTTTTCATCTCGGGAAATAAAGTAAAAGGAAACATTTTGTTTCTTTCATCTCGGGAAATAAAGTAAAAGGAAACATTTTGTTTTTTCATCTCGGGAAATAAAGTAAAAGGAAACATTTTGTTTCTTTCATCTCGGGAAATAAAGTAAAAGGAAACATTTTGTTTCTTTCATCTCGGGAAATAAAGTAAAAGGAAACATTTTGTTTCTTTCATCTCGGGAAATAAAGTAAAAGGAAACTGTTTCTTTTTAACTCCATAAAATAAACTAAAAGGCAACATTTTTTTCTTTTTAGCTGGGGGGAAAGTGACAGCTGATTCTCTGAGCTATAGTGAAGAAGAAAAAATAAAAGCGGTAATTATATTTAAAGACCGGCACCTACCTATAGTGACAGCCGGTCACTGTATACACTGCTCCTCTCCTCCCTTTCTCTGCCCCTCCCCCCTCACATCTGCAGTACACACAGTCCCCTGTATCGGCTACATCTTTCCTATCAGCAAAATGCCGATCGGGCTATTTTCAGCCGATATGTTCGGTGCATCCCTACCAAAAACACCTTCCCATTGAAATCGGTGGAAAACGCCTGAAAAATGCCTCTGAGAAGCATTTTTGGTGCAGTTTTAAGTCGCGTGTCCTTTAAAAAACCACAGCAAAAACGACTGTTTTTTTTTTTTTTTTTTGGCGGTGGATCAGCGTGAAAGTAGCCCGACATGTCCGTTTTTAGGTTGGGAAGCGATCGCAGAGTGTTTGCTGTGATATGTTCGTCTTGTAGTGATGACGTCTCCTTTTGCTCACACAGGGTCAGTTGGATCAGCTGCGACGTCTGTTCACGGAGGCTCTGCACGAGGAGCGAGTGAGCCGGGTAAGAGGAGAGTCCCGAGTGTTCACAGACGGGGGAGGGTACACACGGGTTGCCAGAATACTGTAGCTGTGTCCTCGGATGGGACGTGCGGGTCATCGCTGCGGTAAGGACGCACCCGGAGGCATCCAGCTTTCCTGGGACACGGATCGGATGTTGTCGTCCCCCCCCCCCCCCCCCCGCCCCCACTGTGTGATGTCAGAAACTGGACGCAGTGAGGATTTTGTCACTTCCAGTATCTGAGCTAAACAATCCAGCTTGTGAAATCATCTGGAGTTTGATCAGATGCTTTGGACACCAGAGGGGAAGATCCCTGTAAAGAGGACCTGTCATGGTCCGTGTTGTTCATCCCTTGTGATAGCAATAAAAGTGATTTAAAAAAAAAAAAAAAAAAAAATGTTCGTGTGTAGAAAAAAGTATTAACCTCTTCCTGTTTGGCCTATTGCCGATTAAATGGATGGGAGCGCCGCTGATGCGGGTGGTTTCTAAACGTCCCCCCCGCATCTATTGCCCATGTACACTCCCTGGGAGCGCTCCGCACCGCGAATGGTGCCCGCTGCTGTGTTTTCCGGACAGATCGCTGGGAGGTCCCGATTCATGTGATCATTGAATGGCCAATCGGTGATCACATGAAGAGTAGTAAGCAAGATGTCACTTCTGACATCATTGCTTACTACATGTGAAATTTGTGAATGATCACAGAGGTCACATGGTACAGGGCCATCCACAACAGCCTTGTACCATGTGACAAGCTGTGACCAATCACAGCTCACTCAGTATTTCTCAATGGCTGCAAGAGTGCAGCCAGGGAGAAGGAGAAATGATTGCTTTTACAGCCTTTATGGATGTAAAAGCAATCGGTGTAAAAAAAGTATTTAAAAAAAAAAAAAAAAAAAAAATCTTTATCACCCCCCACAAGTAGTACAGTGTCACTATGGTGACACTACTGCTAGGGTGACAGTATGTAAAAAAAAACAAAAACAAATAATATAAAAATTCGAAAAATTATTTTTGGTTATAAACTAATTTGGGTTATTTATGTATGTCTTGACGTTTTATTTGGGCCTCAAGAAATGAGATCAGTGCTGTCAGTACATCACAATTGATCAGTTAACAGAGATAGCTAGATGGAGATATATATATATATGTGTTTATTTTCACCAAAGAAATGTAGCAGAATACATTTTTGCACTAAATTTTATGAAGAACAATTATTTGCTAAATTTTAAAACAAATTAAGAAACTTTTGTGTGGTTTGTGTTTTTTTTTTTTTTTTTTTTTGTTAAATACCACCAAAAGAAAGCTGTAGTTGTGTGAACTAAATGATAAAAATCTCATATGGGTACAGTGTTGCATGACCGTGCAATTGTTATTCAAAGCGTGACAGCGCTGAAAGCTGCAAATCGTCCTGGGCAGGAAGGGGGTAATAGCGCCCCCGTTGTTGAAGTGGATATAAGCGGTAAATGCACCAACGTTGATACTTGTCTGCAGCCAGTTTTATTTTTCTCATTGGTTTCCCTTTCCATGTTTTTTCTTTTTAGTGGTTCACGGCAGAAGGCTTCCGATCTTTATTTGCTCTTGTAGGAACGAACGGTCAGGGGATCGGCACAAGGTGAGCGAACTCTTCTGTAGTGCAATGCTGAGGAATGACGATTTCTTGTGGGTGCCGACGGACGCCCATACCAATGCTGTCAGCGACTTCCACCTTCTACCAATTCAGTAGGGTATGGGCGCCCTCTAGTGATCACTCTGATCCACTGATTTATATTGAAATATCCATATCCGTTCACTTCCTCTCTTGCAGCCCAATTCTTACCCTCCGGTGGATTTGAGTGGTTGGGGGATCCCCCCCCACCCTTATAGGGACCCTGGGAGGTGTCTAAGATCCCCCTTCAGGCAGATGTTTGCTCAGGGAGTGTATCTTCCTAATAAAGGTGTTTACACAGGGATGACCAATTCCTATCGCCCGACGCTCGGGACATGTAGTTCTGGGCGCCGGGCAGGTAGTTCCTTTTTGCCCTTAACCCTACTGCAGTCACGCAGCGGTCTCACCTGTCAGGTAGAAGCAATCAGGCAGCAGCACTGCCACCCAATTGCTTCCACACAGCCTCCCCCCGCTATATGTCCCGGGCTCCACTTGCCCATCTGTGGGCCCAGGACGGGTTTGCTGGGTGCCCCGGGATGTGGTATAGGGGAGGGGGAGGAGAGCGGACACATCCGCTCCCTCCCCCTCTTCTGGAAGTGATGTGACATCACTTCAGGGTCCCCGTTCGACAGATTCCCAGTCATTGAGGCCGAGAAAGAATGTAATGCGGTGCGATGTGGACTGCATTACATTCAGTGTAGTACAGGGGAGACATCCAGGGTCTTTTAGACCCTGCATGTTTCAAAAAAAAAAAAAAAAAGAGAACCTGTCATCAAAAATCATCACATAGAGGACTTTTTGTCCCGTATATGATTCTAAAAAAAAAAAAAAAATGTATTATTTATTTATTTTTTTAAATGGAAGTTACACCCAAGCATGTAACACCCCCACATTTTTCAAGGCCCCCACATATGTACGCACGCACAAATGTAAAAGCACATGCTCTGGCGCCTACACATGAAAACGTGGATTGCCATACACACGTTACATATCGCCGCACATGCCAGAATGAGAGCGATTAATTCTAGCACCAGACCTCCTCCTTACACTATACCGATGACCTATAAGGGGCTTTAAAAGTGTCACCTATAGAAAATATAGGGTAGTAAAGTTTGTTGTCGTGTCACGAGTGTGCACAAAGTTAACCTCTTCACGCCGGCTGAACGCAAATGTGCGGCCTCCCGGCATCTGGGCCTAGACGCCGAGCGGCCTTCCTGTGTCTGGGCCTAGAGGCCAGCAGCCACACATTTGCGTTCTATTAAAAAAGGACATTTGTGCTGAGAGCGTGCACCCTGCACGCTCCCAGCACACATGTCCAGTACTCGCGGAAAGGTCCCGATCTCCTCTTTCGATCGGGACCTTTCCCGATCATGTGACCGCCGTGACGATATGTCACGGTGGTCACATGACCCTAAACCCTGCTCCGCCTCCTGGCTTCTGAAACTCTTAAAGGGCCGGGAGGCGTCGGCGTGAAGGGGTTAAGGTTTGACATGTTGGATATCTATTTACTCGCTGCAACCTCGCTTTTTTTATATTTTTACAAAAAGAATGGATAATTTATTGCTTTTTGTGCCCTAAAATCAACTTAAAGTGTGTTTTTTTACTGAAATTTTTATGTTTCCTAGACCTTTGTGATAATATGTGACATAAAAAAATTGGAACTACCAGTATTTTATTCTCTAGGATCTCTGATTTCAGAAAGTATATTATGTTTGGGGGGTTTTGTGTCATCTTCAGGCCTAAAACGATTTTTTTAAACGTGTGCAAATAATGCAAAAAACAGCTCTGGCAGCGAAAGGGATAAAGGATGAACCGGACACTCCCCTTTCCTGACGAGCAGCCAATCGGTGCTCATTACACTGCAAGGTTTATCCCTTCCCTGCTAGTCCCTGGGGGCGGGGCTGAAGACAGGCGGGGGGGGGGGGAGATAAACAGCGCAAATGTTAAAAATATGACATGTTTAAGTCGCCATAAAGCCTCTTTTGTTTTTAAAAGCCCCAACATTACTGAAAGCAGATTTAAATATAGTTTTGGTTAAAATTTATGGTTTATCAGGACAAGTAGATGGTCGTGAGGGACGAGTAGATGGTCGTGAGGGACGAGTAGATGGTGGTCGTGAGGGACAAGTAGATGGTGGTCGTGAGGGACAAGTAGATGGTGGTCGTGAGGGACGAGTAGATGGTGGTCGTGAGGGACGAGTAGATGGTCGTGAGGGACGAGTAGATGGTCGTGAGGGACGAGTGGATGGTCGTGAGGGACGAGTGGATGGTGGTCGTGAGGGACGAGTGGATGGTGGTCGTGAGGGACGAGTATGGTGGTCGTGAGGGACGAGTGGATGGTGGTCATGAGGGACGAGTGGATGGTGGTCGTGAGGGACGAGTGGATGGTGGTCGTGAGGGACGAGTGGATGGTGGTCGTGAGGGACGAGTGGATGGTGGTCGTGAGGGACGAGTGGATGGTGGTCGTGTGGGACGAGTGGATGGTGGTCGTGAGGGACGAGTGGATGGTGGTCGTGAGGACGAGTGGATGGTGGTCGTGAGGGACGAGTGGATGGTGGTCGTGAGGGACGAGTGGATGGTGGTCGTGAGGGACGAGTGGATGGTGGTCGTGAGGGACGAGTGGATGGTGGTCGTGAGGGACGAGTGGATGGTGGTCGTGAGGGACGAGTGGATGGTGGTCGTGAGGGACGAGTGGATGGTGGTCGTGAGGGACGAGTGGATGGTGGTCGTGAGGGACGAGTGGATGGTGGTCGTGAGGGACGAGTGGATGGTGGTCGTGAGGGACGAGTGGATGGTGGTCGTGAGGGACGAGTGGATGGTGGTCGTGAGGGACGAGTGGATGGTGGTCGTGTGGGACGAGTGGATGGTGGTCGTGTGGGACGAGTAGATGGTGGTCGTGTGGGACGAGTAGATGGTGGTCGTGTGGGACGAGTAGATGGTGGTCGTGAGGGACGAGTAGATGGTGGTCGTGAGGGACGTGTGGGACGAGTGGATGGTGGTCGTGTGGGACGAGTGGATGGTGGTCGTGTGGGACGACTGGATGGTGGCCGCGGGGGACGACTGGATGGTGGCCGCGGGGGACGACTAGATGTCCTTGGGGACCAATTTTTAGTCCCTGGACAAGTAGTTTTTTCAAAAATGTCCACCCCCTCCTGTCATCTACAGCTCTATGGAGACCTCTATAATCGACATTCAGGAAAGGCTTTGTAGAAGGACGTGTTAGTACAGATCACCGCTACAGAAGAGATATTTTCTTATCGTTTACAATAAAACAAATAGTTTTTTCTAATTGGGTGTGATAGTGAGTGACATCATCCATCTACTGATCACTCATCCAATGATTTCCAGGTTCCTTGGGACCAAAGTAATAAATGCGCATTATTTTACCTGCAGAGAGAATGTGCAATTATTGTGAACTTCTCCTATTAATGACTTCACCAAGTGATCCTTCTGCTCCAATGAAATGTGTATCACCTTCTCTCCGGTAGGTGTGTGGGTTTTTTTTTGTTTTGTTTTTTTTGTTTTTTTTTTTTTTGTTTTTTGTTTTGTTTTTTTTGCCAACTTGTGGCTGAGAAGATTTAAAAACGCAAAATACACTAAACGTGTAAAACACGTAGTACATGCGTTTTCTGTAGCGTCTCCATTAACGTCTATTGAACAAAAAATGCAACATTTTTGTGTTTTATTTTTTTGGGGGGGGGGAGGGGTTGGGGGGGGGGGGGGGGGGGTGGGGGGGGGTGGGGGGGGTTGGGGGGGTGTTGGGGAGGAGAATACCATGACCCTTTCCCTGACCCCTCAAAGCACAGATATGAATGTGTCCCATAGGAAACCATGTTAAATGGACTGCAGAAAGCACAAAAGAATGCATTGCTGTGCATCGGGCATCAATAAAGTGCGTGCGTGTGTGTGTTTGTGTGGGTGGTGGGGGGTGCGGGGGGGGGTGCGGTGGGGGGTGGGTGTGTGTGGGGGGCGGGGTGGGGGGGGGTTTGGGGTTTTTTTTTTTTACCACCTTTCGCCCGCCATATAGTACAACACAGCGGATCACGGAAAGAGCCGAAGATGTCGGCTCGGTCATGTGATCAGCTGTGTCCAATCACAGTGATCACATGTAAACAGTGAAATGCGGTGCTATCAGCATTTCTGTCCTCTCGAGCTGTCACGCTGGACAGAGGAGAGGAGAGCCGGTTAATTGGGCATTCCACGGGAGGGGACATGTACACTGATCATCAGTGTTAGCCCAGGGGTGCCACCATGTCAGTGCCCATCAATGCCACATATCAGTGCATACCAGTGCACATCAATGCCACATATCAGTTTGCCAGTGCACATCAATGCCACATATCAGTGCATACCAGTGCACATCAATGCCACATATCGGTGCCATCTGAGCTGCCTGTCAGTGCCACCTATCAGTGCTAGTCAGTGCCGCCAATCCGTGCCAGTCAGTGCTGCCTATCGGTGCCATATATCAGTGTCATGTATCAGTGCTGCCTTTCAGTGCCCCTCAGTGATGCCTGTCAATGCCCATCACTGCAGCCTCATTAGCACACATCAGTGAAGGAGAAAAATCACTTATTTACTAATTTGTATAACAAAAACTAAGAAAACGTTTTTTTTTTTTTTTTTTTTTAATTTTCAGTGGTTTTTGGTTTGTTTAGGAAAAAATAAAAATCCCAGCGGTGATTAAATACCACCAAAATAAAGCTCTATCTGTCACAAAAAAATGATAAAAATTTCATATGAGTACAGTGTTGCATGACCGCGCAATTGTCATTCAAAGTGTGACCGCGCTGAAAGCTGGAAATTGGCCTGGACTGGAAGGGGGTATAAGTGTCCGGTAGGCAAGTGGTTAAACTCGCCAAATATGCATCAAAAATGTGGCAAGCGGGATTTTTAACACCACAAAGAAGTGCGATGGACCAGTTTGTAGACATACACTGAATGTAACGGGATGCATTTTTCTTGTGGTTTTTTTATTTATTTATTTTTTTATGCAGTAGCGCTGCAACAACTACTCGTTGTGAAAGCAACCTATTGGCCAAAAACAATGCTGGAGATAAATACATATCCTTTTAAATTCATGATATTAACCACTTCCCCTCCAGAGGATTTACCCTCTCCAACACCCCCCCCCCCCCCCCCCCCTCCAGACCAGGCTGTTTTTTGCTTCGCGGCACTGCGTTACTGTGACTGACAGTTGCGCGGTCATGCAACGCTGCACTCAAATGAAATTTATGTCCTTATTTTTCCCCCATGAATTGAGCTTTCTTTTGGTTGTATTTGATCGCCTGCACTCTTTTATATAAAAAAAAAAAAAAAATACTGACCGTTTTTGAGAAAAAAAAAACTATCTTCGAATTTTTACTATTAAACACATCCAGTAAAAAAATGAAAAAATCTAATTTCATCATAAATTTAGGTCAGAATGTATTCTGCTCCGTGTCTTTGCTAAAAAAAAAAAAAAAATACCAATACGTGTAAATTAATTGGTTTACGTGAAAGTTATCGCGTCTACAATCGGCGGTATATATAATGGGATTTTTTTTTTTTTTTTACTAGTAATGGCGGCAATCAGCGACTTGTAGCGGGACTGTGGTGGGCATTCTGACACTGGGGGGGGACTGACTTGGTGTCACTGACATCCCCAGTGACACCAATACAGTGATCAGTGCTAATAAAAAAGAACTGACACTGTACTAATGGCACTGGGGAGGAAGGGGTTAACATCTGGGGCAATTAAACTGTGTGCTGTTTCACTATGGGGGCTGTGTGTGTGCTTCACTGTAAGCACACTGCTTTGTATGGCTGTGCTATGCAGAGCCATGCAAAGCAGTTTGCAGGAGCTGACAGGGAGGAGAACTGTGAGTAATCACCGTCTGGGACCCGGTGATTGACGGTCGCGAATGGCGGTGTGGGTAGGGTGTGTATGTATATGTGTGTGTATATATGTGTGATTTTTTGCGCACCCATGCCCTGTAGCAGTACTGTTTGTTATAGGGCGGACGGGAAGTGGTTAATCAAAAAGTCGAATACAATTTTACTGTATATAATATCTAAAATAAATATATATATAAAAAATCCTTTTTTTTTTTTTTTTTTTTTTTACTGTCCACTTTGGTTTGCGGCCAAATGCATCCTAAATTTTCTGCGTCGGTCAAGAATTTTGATTCCGGTGCACCACGACGACTAACCATAATGCGTTGCTTTGTGTCCACAGCAGGAATTGCACCACTTTTGGCAGGTGCTGTCTCCCACTAACCTTCTCCCCCTTCTAGTGGGAGGAGACACTCTGAAACCGCCATGCCACCCGCCATGCACACAGTTGCAGCATGCTAGTGCGGGCGACAAGGGGTTACAGTCAGGTCCATAAATATTGGGACATGGACACAATTCTAACATTTTTGGCTCTATACACCACCACAATGGATTTGAAATGAAACAAACAAGATGTGCTTTAACTGCAGACTGTCAGCTTTAATTTGAGGGTATTTACATCCAAATCAGGTGAACGGTGTAGGAATTACAACAGTTTGCATATGTGCCTCCCACTTGTTAAGGGACCAAAAGTAATGGGACAGAATAATAATGATAAATCAAACTTTCACTTTTTAATACTTGGTTACAAATCCTTTGCAGTCAATTACAGCCTGAAGTGTGGAACGCATAGACATCACCAGACGCTGGGTTTCATCCCTGGTGATGCTCTGCCAGGCCTCTACTGCAACTGTCTTCAGTTCCTGCTTGTTCTTGGGGCATTTTCCCTTCAGTTTTGTCTTCAGCAAGTGAAATGCTCAATCCGATTCAGGTCAGGTGATTGACTTGGCCATTGCAGAACATTCCACTTCTTTCCCTTAAAAAACTCTTTGGTGTCTTTTGCAGTCTGCTTTGGGTCATTGTCCATCTGCACTGTGAAGCGTCCAATGAGTTGTGAAGCATTTGGCTGAATATGAGCAGATAATATTCCCGAAACACTTCACAATTCATCCGGCTGCTTTTGTCAGCAGTCACATCATCAATAAATACAAGAGAACCAGTTCCATTGGCAGCCGTACCCTACATGCCCACGCCATGACACTACCACCACCATGCTTCACTGATGAGGTGGTATGCTTAGGATCATGAGCAGTTCCTTCTCCATACTCTTCTCTTCCCATCACTCTGGTACAAGTTGATGTCGGTCTCATCTGTCCATAGGATGTTGTTCCAGAACTGTGACGGCTTTTTTACATGTCGTTTGGCAAACTCTAATCTGGCCTTCCTGTTTTTGAGGCTCACCAATGGTTTCCATCTTGTGGTGAACCCTCTGTATTCAGTCTGGTGAAGTCTTCTCTTGATTGGTGACTTTGACACACATACACCTACCTCCTGGAGAGTGTTCTTGATCTGACCAACTGTTGTGAAGGGTGTTTTCTTCACCAGGGAAAGAATTCTTCAGTCATCCACCACAGTTGTTTTCCGTGGTCTTCCAGGTCTTTTGGTGTTGCTGAGCTCACCGGTGCGTTCCTTCTTTTTAAGAATGTTCCAAACAGTTGTTTTGGCCACGCCTAATGTTTTTGCTATCTCTCTCTGATGGGTTTGTTTAGTTTTTTTCAGCCTAATGATGGCTTCACTGATAGTGACAGCTCTTTGGATCTCATCTTGAGAGTTGACAGCAACAGATTCCAAATGCAAATAGCACACTTGAAATGAACTCTGGACCTTTTATCTGCTCATTGTAATTGGGATAATGAGGGAATAACACACACCTGGCCATGGAACAGCTGAGAGAAGCCAATTGTCCCCTTACTTTTGGTCCCTTAACAAGTGGGAGGCACACATGCAAACTGTTGTGATTCCTACACCGTTCACCTGATTTGGACGTAAATACCTTCAAATCAAAGCTGCCAGTCTGCAGTTAAAGCACATCTTGTTCATCTCATTTCACATCCATTGTGGTGGTGTATAGAGCCAAAAATGTTAGAATTGTGTCCATGTCCCAATATTTATGGACCTGACTGTATATCCACTCTCTCCGGACCCCACATTCACTATATCCGCTCTCCCCGGGCCCCGCATTCACTATATATATCCGCTCTCCCGGGCCCCGCATTCACTATATATATCCGCTCTCCCCGGGCCCCGCATTCACTATATATATCCGCTCTCCCCGGGCCCCGCATTCACTATATATATCCGCTCTCCCCGGGCCCCGCATTCACTATATATATCCGCTCTCCCCGGGCCCCGCATTCACTATATATATCCGCTCTCCCCGGGCCCCGCTTTCACTATATATATATCCGCTCTCCCCGGGCCCCGCTTTCACTATATATATCCGCTCTCCCCGGGCCCCGCATTCACTATATATATCCGCTCTCCCGGGGCCCCGCATTCACTATATATATCCGCTCTCCCCGGGCCCCGCATTCACTATATATATCCGCTCTCCCCGGGCCCCGCATTCACTATATATATCCGCTCTCCCCGGGCCCCGCATTCACTATATATATCCGCTCTCCCCCCGGCCCCGCATTCACTATATATATCCGCTCTCCCCGGGCCCCGCATTCACTATATATATATCCGCTCTCCCCGGGCCCCGCATTCTATATCCGCTCTCCCCGGACCCCGCATTCACTATATCCGCTCTCCCCGGGCCCCGCATTCACTATATCCGCTCTCCCCGGACCCCGCATTCACTATATTCGCTCTCCCCGGGCCCCGCATTCACTATATCCGCTCTCCCCGGGCCCCGCATTCACTATATATCCGCTCTCCCCGGACCCCGCATTCACTATATCCGCTCTCCCCGGGCCCCGCATTCACTATATCCGCTCTCCCCGGACCCTGCATTCACTATATCCGCTCTCCCCGGGCCCCGCATTCACTATATCCGCTCTCCCCGGGCCCCGCATTCACTATATCCGCTCTCCCCGGGCCCCGCATTCACTATATCTGCTCTCCCCGGGCCCCGCATTCACTATATCTGCTCTCCCCGGGCCCCGCATTCACTATATATCCGCTCTCCCCCGGGCCCCGCATTCACTATATATCCGCTCTCCCCGGGCCCCGCATTCACTATATATCCGCTCTCCCCGGGCCCCGCATTCACTATATATCCGCTCTCCCCGGGCCCCGCATTCACTATATATCCGCTCTCCCCCGGGCCCCGCATTCACTATATATCCGCTCTCCCCGGGCCCCGCATTCACTATATATCCGCTCTCCCCGGGCCCCGCATTCACTATATATCCGCTCTCCCCGGGCCCCGCATTCACTATATATCCGCTCTCCCCGGCCCCGCATTCACTATATATCCGCTCTCCCCGGACCCCGCATTCACTATATCCGGACCCCCATAGTACACACAACATGGAAATGCAATTAATTTAGTAAATATGAACTGCTAAATACCTTTTCTCATCAGCCGTATATAGCAGAGTTGTGACTTCTATTAATGTCCAGCAGAGCGCTGGTTAATCTTGTAGGAGGAGTTTTCATTTTGCTCTAGGAAGATGCAGGACCTCTGTCTGGACAGTGCTGATTGGCCCTGTGCTGATCACATGCACTCTCCTAAGGGAAAAAAAATAACCTCTCTGCACATGCTCATTTGGTGTGTATTGCTAGAGTGTCTCCACACAATGTCTTATCAGGAGATAAGAGGGAGACACTGGAAGAAGGGGAGGATCAGAGAAGACAGGATCAAACAGCCTTTTTACACAATTCAGAGGATTAACCCCTTAGGTCCCACAGGGAGTATAACCAGCATGCTTTACTGCATCTACAGACTGATTGTACTGCTGGGGGTTTAGTAACACTTTAACTTGCCATCAACCATAAACATCTGAAATATCTGGTTTGGCTGGAGTTGCTCTAAACACTGGAACATCCTGTAGATTTATTGGATAAATGTTTTTTTTTTTTTTTTTTCTTTTTCTCTATGCAGAGACCGGGGAGTTCCTGAACTGCGAGGGGTCTGGACTGTACCTGCTGCAGAGCTGCTGTGAGTCTTGTGCTGGCTCTTAATTGTATTTCCTCCAATATCTTTTTACATGAGCAAGACAAGCTGAAAAAGGGAATGAGCAACTATATATTTGTATCTGGTATGAATACTGCTGCTAGACTTGCACCTTACCAACCGATCAGCGACTGCTGCTAGACTTGCACCTTACCAACCGATCAGCGACTGCTGCCAGACTCATCCACCTTACCAACCGATCAGCGACTGCTGCTAGACTTGCACCTTACCATCAGCCGATCAGCGACTGCTGCCCTTAGACTCATCCACCTTACCGACCGATCAGCGACTGCTGCTAGACTCATCCACCTTACCGACCGATCAGCGACTGCTGCTAGACTCATACACCTTACCGACCGATTAGTGACTGCTGCTAGACTCATCCACCTTACCGACCGATCAGCGACTGCTGCTAGACTCGTACACCTTACCAACCGATCAGCGACTGCCGCTAGACTCATCCACCTTACCAACCGATTAGTGACTGCTGCTAGACTCATCCACCTTACCGACCGATCAGCGACTGCCGCTAGACTCATCCACCTTACCAACCGATTAGTGACTGCTGCTAGACTCATCCACCTTACCGACCGATCAGCGACTGCCGCTAGACTCATCCACCTTACCAACCGATTAGTGACTGCTGCTAGACTCATCCACCTTACCGACCGATCAGCGACTGCTGCTAGACTCATACACCTTACCGACCGATCAGCGACTGCCGCTAGACTCATCCACCTTACCGACCGATCAGCGACTGCCGCTAGACTCATCCACCTTACCGACCGATTAGTGACTGCTGCTAGACTCATCCACCTTATCGACCGATCAGCGACTGCCGCTAGACTCATCCACCTTACCGACCGATCAGCGACTGCCGCTAGACTCATCCACCTTACCGACCGATCAGCGACTGCTGCTAGACTCATCCACCTTACCGACCGATCAGCGACTGCTGCTAGACTCATACACCTTACCGACCGATCAGCGACTGCCGCTAGACTCATCCACCTTACCGACCGATCAGCGACTGCCGCTAGACTCATCCACCTTACCGACCGATCAGCGACTGCTGCTAGACTCATCCACCTTACCGACCGATCAGCGACTGCTGCTAGACTCATACACCTTACCGACCGATCAGCGACTGCTGCTAGACTCATACACCTTACCGACCGATCAGCGACTGCTGCTAGACTCATACACCTTACCAACCGATCAGCGACTGCTGCCCCTCTCTGCCAATCCCTCCACTGGCTTCCACTAACCCAACGTATAAAATTCAGAATACTAACCACAGCTTACAAAGCCATCCACAACACTGCCCCTAGCTACATCACCAACCTCATCCACAGATATCACCCAAATCACCCGGTCCTCCCAAGACCTCTTCCTCTCTAGCTCCCTCGCTTGCCCCCACGACTTCTCCAGAGCCTCTCCCATCCTCTGGAAATCCATACCCCAGTATGTCCTGTCAGCCCCCCCACCCTGTCTGCCTTTAGGCGATCTTTGAAAACTCACTTCTTCAGGGAAGCCTACCCCACCCCCCACCTAAGGACTGTACTTGGGTCACCTCCGCCAGATCATCCCCCACAGCTATCACCTTTTGTATCACCTCCCCCTTCCTTTAGATTGTAAGCTCCATGAGCCGGGCCCTCCTATTCCTTCTGTACTGAAATGTATTGTAATTGTACCGCCCCCCTTATATTGTACTGCGCTGCGCAAACTGTTGGCGCCATATAAATCCTGTATAATAATAATCTGGAGGTAGTATAGAATCTAATAGTATATACACTCTCTGGTGAACCCGGGGCGGGAGTCATTAGCAGGAATTGTGGTGAACCCGGGGCGGGAGTCATTAGCAGGAATTGTGGTGAACCCGGGGCGGGAGTCATTAGGAATTCTGGTGAACCCGGGGCGGGAGTCATTAGGAATTCTGGTGAGCCCGGGGCGGGAGTCATTAGGAATTCTGGTGAGCCCAGGGCGGGCGTCATTAGGAATTCTGGTGAACCCAGAATGGGAGTCATTAGGAATTCTGGTGAACCCGGGGCGGGAGTCATTAGCAGGAATTCTGGTGAACCCGGGGCGGGAGTCATTAGGAATTCTGGTGAGCCCAGGGCGGGAGTCATTAGGAATTCTGGTGAACTCGGGGCGGGAGTCAGTAGGAATTCTGGTGAGCCCAGGGCGGGAGTCATTAGCAGGAATTCTGGTGAACCCAGGGCGGGAGTCATTAGGAATTCTGGTGAACCCGGGGCGGGAGTCATTAGGAATTCTGGTGAACCCGGGGCGGGAGTCATTAGCAGGAATTCTGGTGAACCCGGGGCGGGAGTCATTAGCAGGAATTCTGGTGAACCCGGGGCGGGAGTCATTAGGAATTCTGGTGAGCCCAGGGCGGGAGTCATTAGGAATTCTGGTGAGCCCGGGGCGGGAGAGTCATTAGGAATTGTGGTGAGCCCGGGGCGGGAGTCATTAGGAATTCTGGTGAGCCCGGGGCGGGAGTCATTAGGAATTCTGGTGAGCCCGGGGCGGGAGTCATTAGGAATTCTGGTGAGCCCGGGGCGGGAGTCATTAGGAATTCTGGTGAGCCCAGGGCGGGAGTCATTAGGAATTCTGGTGAGCCCGGGGCGGGAGTCATTAGCAGGAATTCTGGTGAGCCCAGGGCGGGCGTCATTAGGAATTCTGGTGAGCCCAGAATGGGAGTCATTAGGAATTCTGGTGAACCCGGGGCGGGAGTCATTAGCAGGAATTCTGGTGAACCCGGGGCGGGAGTCAGTAGGGAATTCTGGTGAGCCCAGGGCGGGAGTCATTAGGAATTCTGGTGAGCCCAGGGCGGGCGTCATTAGGAATTCTGGTGAACTCAGAATGGGAGTCATTAGGAATTCTGGTGAACCCGGGGCGGGAGTCATTAGCAGGAATTCTGGTGAACCCAGGGCGGGAGTCATTAGGAATTCTGGTGAACCCGGGGCGGAGTCATTAGCAGGAATTCTGGTGAACCCAGGGCGGGAGTCATTAGGAATTCTGGTGAGCCCGGGGCGGGAGTCATTAGGAATTCTGGTGAACCCAGGGCGGGAGTCATTTGGAATTCTGGTGAACCCGGGGCGGGAGTCATTAGGAATTCTGGTGAACCCGGGGCGGGAGTCATTAGGAATTCTGGTGAACCCGGGGCGGGAGTCATTAGGAATTCTGGTGAACCCGGGGCGGGAGTCAGTAGCAGGAATTCTGGTGAGCCCAGGACGGGAGTCATTAGGAATTCTGGTGAACCCGGGGCGGGAGTCATTAGGAATTCTGGTGAACCCGGGGCGGGAGTCATTAGGAATTCTGGTGAACCCAGGGCGGGAGTCATTAGGAATTCTGGTGAGCCTGGGGCGGGAGTCATTATGAGGAATTCTGGTGAGGCCGGGGCGGGAGTCATTAGGCATTCTGGTGAGCCCAGGGCGGGAGTCATTAGGCATTCTGGTGAACCCGGGGCGGGAGTCATTAGGAATTCTGGTGAGCCCAGGGCGGGAGTCAGTAGGAATTCTGGTGAACCCAGGACGGGAGTCATTAGCAGGAATTCTGGTGAACCCGGGGCGGGAGTCATTAGGAATTCTGGTGAGCCCAGGGCGGGAGTCATTAGGAATTCTGGTGAACTCAGAATGGGAGTCATTAGGAATTCTGGTGAACCCGGGCGGGAGTCATTAGCAGGAATTCTGGTGAACCCAGGGCGGGAGTCATTAGGAATTCTGGTGAGCCCGGGGCGGGAGTCATTAGGAATTCTGGTGAACCCGGGGCAGGAGTCATTAGGAATTCTGGTGAACCCGGGGCGGGAGTCATTAGGAATTCTGGTGAACCCGGGGCGGGAGTCAGTAGCAGGAATTCTGGTGAGCCCAGGACGGGAGTCATTAGGAATTCTGGTGAACCCGGGGCGGGAGTCATTAGGAATTCTGGTGAACCCGGGGCGGGAGTCATTAGGAATTCTGGTGAACCCGGGGCGGGAGTCAGTAGCAGGAATTCTGGTGAGCCCAGGACGGGAGTCATTAGGAATTCTGGTGAACCCGGGGCGGGAGTCATTAGCAGGAATTCTGGTGAACCCGGGGCGGGAGTCATTAGGAATTCTGGTGGAACCCGGGGCGGGAGTCATTAGGAATTCTGGTGAACCCAGGGCGGGAGTCATTAGGAATTCTGGTGAGCCTGGGGCGGGAGTCATTATGAGGAATTCTGGTGAACCCGGGGCGGGAGTCATTAGGCATTCTGGTGAGCCCAGGGCGGGAGTCATTAGGAATTCTGGTGAGCCCAGGGCGGGAGTCAGTAGGAATTCTGGTGAACCCAGGACGGGAGTCATTAGCAGGAATTCTGGTGAACCCGGGGCGGGAGTCATTAGGAATTCTGGTGAGCCCAGGGCGGGAGTCATTAGGAATTCTGGTGAACCCGGGGCGGGAGTCATTAGGAATTCTGATGAACCCGGGGCGGGAGTCATTAGGAATTCTGATGAACCCGGGGCGGGAGTCAGTAGGAATTCTGGTGAGCCTGGGGCGGGAGTCATTATGAGGAATTCTGGTGAACCCGGGGCGGGAGTCATTAGGAATTCTGGTGAGCCCGGGGCGGGAGTCAGTAGGAATTCTGGTGAGCCCAGGACGGGAGTCATTAGGCATTCTGGTGAGCCCAGGGCGGGAGTCATTAGGCATTCTGGTGAGCCCAGGGCGGGAGTCATTAGGCATTCTGGTGAGCCCGGGGCGGGAGTCAGTAGGAATTCTGGTGAACCCGGGGCGGGAGTCAGTAGGAATTCTGGTGAACCCAGGGCGGGAGTCATTAACAGGACGTCTGGTGGCTTTCTTGGTCAAAGGTGGTCTAATGTGCTGCTTAATCAGAGGTTTGGGATATCAGGCTGCCGGTGATATGATTTATCCCTCTTATCTCACTATATACCCCTTTTCTCTGCTTCAGTCCTTGGCAGGCACTGATTATACATCTGACTTGTCCTTTATTCTCTGCAGGTAACCACAGTTGTGTCCCCAATGCTGAGGCCTCCTTTCCTGACAATAATTTTCTCTTACACATGACCGTTCTAGAAGATATCAAGCCGGGAGAGGTAAGCCCACCCCCTGTATTCCTGGAAGACGTTGGCCCTGTTGTCACATATCAAGGATGAGGAGTGATAATTATTGTTGCTGAGTCCTCTAGCCGATGTGGAATGAAAAATTCCTCTATCCAAGAAGTGCATTTTTCCTGCAGCAACTTGGTTCATCCAGAGAGACTGAATTCCAGAACAGGTGACCGCAGTCCACAGAATATTGGCAAATAACATGACCAACCGCAGCTTTCTGAGTCCCATGTGAGATGCTTGGTCCCTTTCTGTCCCTGCAAGTATAGAGGCTCTACACCGTCCTGCATTTATATCCAATCTATAGTATGTACCTAGGTTGCTTCCATGCATGCAATAATGCGTGTTATGGGCTGTAGATGGAGGAATGAATCTGGTCTCAACCGCTTCCGCACCGTCCCATAGCAGAAATACTGCTACAGGGTGGCATGGCTGCGCAAAATCATCTGTATGTATGTGTGATTTTGCAGTTCCGGGTAGGGGGCGCGTGCCCCACCCGCGCCTCCATTCGTGCCCTCGGCTGTCAATCACCGTGTCCCAGCCGGTGATTCCCCGCCGTCACCTGGTGATCGCCAAGTATCGCCAATGGGAGGGGAGGGTCAGAGACCTGTGTGTAAACAATGCAGATCTGTCTCCTGTCAGCTCTTGCACACTGCTTTGTATGGCGCAGAGTGTGGCCTCTCAGCACACATGTTTTTGTTAATTGCACGCAAATGTGCGGCCGGCGTGAAGAGGTTAATGTTAGCGGAAGCTGCTGTGTCCATCAATGAACTCCGCGAAGGAGATTTTACAATACCTTGTAGGTAACCTTGCAAATAACCTAAATACAATAAAAAATGTAGCGCTACTCCTTAAAGTCCATACACACACACATATATATATATATAATAAATTAATTAGTGATGTGTAATCTCAAAATTACATCAAATTAAAGTGATAATGATATCAATTAAAATTAATTGGTGCCCATTACTCATTAGATCTACAAAGTTAAATCCGATAACTCAAAGCATGTGAAAAAACATTTTCATATATATATAAATAATTCTGTGAATATAAAATCACACGTGCCTCTCGTGTAGTGAAAAAAACCACAGTATAGCCGTAAATAAACAGTGCTCTCAAAGTCCAATAAATGCTGATAGTGACCAAAGAAAAAAAAACACTCGTGCTTCCAATAACTACTGTTGGTGACCATCAATTAACAGGAACTCGTGTAGATCTTTGGGTGCATGTGAATATGACAATCCGACCATCATCTGGATAAGCCTCTCGCCTCATCACTTCGACCCTTGCGGATCAAAGCGCTTTTGTGGATCCCCCTCACGGATCCTCCAAGATAGCTATCACTCCAAATGTTGCTCCTTGTCGCACCGAAATCTCTCAGAGATTAATATTCCACCAATGGCTCCTCTCCAGGTAAGGTGCAGCATCAATCTCTCAAATGACACATAAAATAGATCCTCCCATAGTGCAGTATATTTTATTTATGAAGTAGGGACAGATAACAGAAAACCTTCTCACTCACGTGGCAGCCGTATCCAATTCAAAACCTCATGCTTTCGGATAGGGCATGTATGTATGGGTGTACAGGTGCACCAAGATGGCCGCCACGCCGGAAATACGTCACCACGTCAAGCCGACGCGTTGCGTCACAATGTCATGCGACTTCCTCAGGGCTGTCAATCATAGTGACGATCTCTCCTCATATACCCAACTTAATGAAAGGAAACGCCCTCAAAGGAGGTTATCGCCTCAACATCGATCCTCCTCTATTTTCCGCGGCCATAACTATGAAGACCACAGGAGACTACTATGCGATAAACCCAAATATACACATATATATGAATCACACGGAAACATATATATTACAACACCAGCCCAGATAAATAAAAACCCTAATCATATAGAATATCTCTGCTATTATATGGAACCCCATAGATATATAATATTGATCTTTTAATTCATCTTATAAAAATCTTATAATACCTAAATTTATTAAATAATTAAAAACCTCCATTTATTACATAATTTAATTCAATATTAATTCAAAACGTGATCTTAATTCATCTAATACATTTGTTTATTTCCTCTATAAAATATATACCAAAACATATGAAAAAATATACAAAAAATTATACAAAAAAAAATGTATTTAATATATAAAAAAAAAAAAATATATACACACACACACACACACACACACACACACTCCTTTATTCTTCTTCTTTTCTTCCTTTTTTAATATTTTAGAATTATGTTTAAAAACCTTTTTAAATAAAATATTTTAAAAATAAAAAATAAAAAAAAAAGAGAAAAAATGAAAATAAAATATATAAAAATATATAAAAAATATTCAACACCTAGTCTACTCCACCTCTTCTCCAGCAATATAGAACCTACTCAAATATACATAAATACCTCTCTATCCAAAAGCATGAGTTTACACCATATATCATATAATCAATATATATTAAAATACATTAAAATAGATTATAACCTATCATAGATTAAATAATTAGTACATTGCAACATATCATAAAGCCAGAAGGTCAAATTGTACCAATTCCATACCCCTATTAAATAAAAAATCCGAGATAAAACAATTGAAATCAAATTCAATATTCAATCCCTTAGGAAAATACGTTTGCATGTTATAAATCCATTTCGATTCTAATTTACTTAAGGAATGCACCTTATGGCTACCCCACCCTTTCTTGATATTTTGCACATGTTCCCGAAGCCTGACCCAGAGGGGTCTTTTGGTTTCTTCCTATATATTGCAGTCCGCAACTGCATTGCAGTGCGTACACGACCCCCTCCGTCCTACATGAAATGAATTCATCAATTTTAAATTCCTTATCACTCACAGATGAGGTAAAACACACCATTTTCTTATTTTTTCTTTTTGTAGATTTGCAAGCATAACATGCCTTGCACGGAAAAAAAAAACGTTTATATCCAAGAATGTGACTTTATTACTTTTAATAGGCGGGTTTAGGACACTTAACAATTTTATCCCTTAATGATGGGGCTTTTCTATATCTAAAAATCGGGGAATTCTGATATCATCTCTTTTAAGGCTGGATCAGCTTTCAATAATGGCCAATGTTTTCTAAAAATGGTCTCCACTTTCCTATAATGGACGTAAAAATCTAAACACATGGCCAATTGGTCTTTTTGATCCTCTTTTTTTTCTCTCGATCTATAAGAAGTAAATCCCTTTTGGTATTTCCTACTTCCTGAGTCACCTCACTTATCTGTTGTGAGTAACCTCATCTGTGAGTGATAAGGAATTTAAAATTGATGAATTCATTTCATGTAGGATGGAGGGGGTCGTGTACGCACTGCAATGCAGTTGCGGACTGCAATATATAGGAAGAACCAAAAGACCCCTCTGGGTCAGGCTTCGGGAACATGTGCAAAATATCAAGAAAGGGTTCCCGAAGCACAGCGTATCAAAGCATTTTGCCAAATGTCATAATAAAGACCCCAGTGATTTGAAATTTTGGGGTATTACTAAAATATAAGAGGCATTGGCGGGGTAGCCATAAGGTGCGTTCCTTCAGTAAATTAGAATCGAAATGGATTTATAACATGCAAATGTATTTTCCTAAGGGATTGAATGTTGAATTTGATTTAAATTGTTTTATCTCGGATTTTTTATTTAATAGGGGTATGGAATTGGTGCAATTTGACCTTCTGGCTTTATGATATGTTGCAATGTACTAATTATTTAATCTGATATGTTATGATCTATTTTAATGTATTTTAATATATATTGAATATATGATATATGGTGTAAACTCATGCTTTTGGATAGAGAGGTATTTATGTATATTTGAGTAGGTTCTATATTGCTGGAGAAGAAGTGGAGTAGTAGACTAGGTGTTGAATATTTTTTTATATATTTTTATATATTTTATTTTCATTTTTTCTCTTTTTGTTTTTATTTTTTATTTAAATTTAAAATATTTTTATTTAAAAGGTTTTTAAACATAATTCTAAAATAATAAAAAAGGAAGAAGAAAGGAAGAATATATATGTGTATATGTATGTGTATATATATATATATATATATATATAAATATATATATATATATATATATATATATATATATATATATATATATATATATATATATATATATATATATATATATATATATATACATTTTTTTTGTATATTTTTTTCATATGTTTTGGTATATATTTTTATAGAGGAAATAAACAAATGTATTAGATGAATTAAGATCACGTTTTGAATTAATATTGAATTAAATTATGTAATAAATGGAGGTTTTTAATTATTTAATAAATTTAGGTATTATAAGATTTTATAAGATGAATTAAAAGATCAATATTATATATCTATGGGGTTCCATATAATAGCAGAGATATTCTATATGATTTAGGGTTTTTATTTATCTGGGCTGGTGGTGTAATATATATGTTTCCGTGTGATTCATATATATGTGTATATTGGGTTTATCGCATAGGCTAATTGCATAGTAGTCTCCTGTGGTCTTCATAGTTATGGCCGTGGAAAATAGAGGAGGATCGATGATGAGGCGATAACCTCCTTTGAAGGTGTTTCCTTTCATTAACCACTTGCCGACCGCGCATAACCGGCTGCACCGCGGCCGGCTAGTTCTGGGTGGACGTCATATGACGTCCTCCCAGAACGCGCTCTCCTGCGCGCCCCAGGGGGCGTGCACCCGGCGATCTCCGTGATCGCTGTGTCCTACGGACACAGCTGATCACGAGATGTGGTGAAAGGCCGATCCCACGGCCTTTTACCACGTGATCAGCGGTGTCCAATGACACGCTAATCACAGGAAAATGCAAGTGCCGGTTCTCGTGCACTTTCCTCACGCTGTCAGATCGTGAGGAAAGTACTGCCGAGAACCGGCAGTTGTCAGAGCGGGGATCGGCACCGATCATCAGGGCACTGATGATCAGTGCCCTGATGATCGGTGCCCAGCAGTGACCCCCGCAAGTTCCTCCCAGCAGTGCGCCCACTAGCCCCGCCCACCCATGCCCAGCAGTGCCCCCACCTGTGCCCAGCAGTGCCCCCACCTGTGCCACTCTGCAGTGCCACCTACCTGTGCCACTCTGCAGTGCCACCTACATGTGCCAGCAGTGCCACCCACCTGTGCCCACCAGTGCCACCCACCTGTGCCCACCAGTGCCACCTACCTGTGCCCACCCACCAGTGGTGCCCACCAGTGCCGCCCACCAGTGCTGCCAGTCAGTGCCCAGGGGTTGTGCCAGTCAGTGCCGCCAGTCAGTGCCCAGAAGTGATGCCAGTCAGTGCCGTCTATCATACCCATAATCAGTGTCACCTATCAGTGCCGCCTATCAGTGCTGCATATCAGTGCCGCCTATCCGTGACCCCTAATTAGTGCTGTCTATCAGTGCCGCCTATCCGTGCCACCTCATTAGTGCTGCCTATCAGTGCCCTTTAGTGCTGCCTATCAGTGCCCATCAGTGCCGCCTATCAGTGCCCATCAGTGCCGCCTCATCAACGCAAATCAGTGAAGAAGAAAAATACCTGTTTGAAAAATTTTATAAAAGAAACAAATAAACTTTTTTTTTTTTCAAATTTTTTGCACGTTTTTTAATTTATAGCGCAAAAAGTAAAGTGCCCAGTGGCGATTAAATACCACCAAAAGAAAGCTCTATTTGTGAGAAAAAAATGATCAAAATTTCATATGGGTACAATGTTGCATGACGGCGCAATTGTCAATCAAAGTGCGGCAGCGCTGAAAGCTGAAAATTGGCCTGGTAAGGAAGGGGGTATAAGTGCCTGGTAGGCAAGTGGTTAAGTTGGGTATATGAGGAGAGATCGTCACTATGATTGACAGCCCTGAGTAAGTCGCATGACATTGTGACGCAACGCGTCGGCTTGACGTGGTGACGTATTTCCGGCGTGGCGGCCATCTTGGTGCACCTGTACACCCAGCTGTACACCCATACATACATGCCCTCATCTGAAAGCATGAGGTTTTGAATTGGATACGGCTGCCACGTGAGTGAGAAGGTTTTCTGTTATCTGTCCCTACTTCATAAATAAAATATACTGCACTATGGGAGGATCTATTTTATGTGTCATTTGAGAGATTGATGCTGCAACTTACCTGGAGAGGAGCCATTGGTGGAATATTAATCTCTGAGAGATTTCGGTGCGACAAGGAGCAACATTTGGAGTGATAGCTATCTTGGAGGATCCGTGAGGGGGATCCACATAAGCGCTTTGATCCGCAAGGGTCGAAGTGATGAGGTGAGAGGCTTATCCAGATGATGGTCGGATTGTCCTATTCACATGCACCCAAAGATCTACACGAGTTCCTGTTAATTGATGGTCACCAACAGTAGTTATTGGAAGCACGAGTGTTTTTTTTTCTTTGGTCACTATCAGCATTTATTGGACTTTGAGAGCACTGTTTATTTACTGCTATACTGTGGTTTTTTTCACTACACGAGAGGCACGTGTGATTTTATATTCACAGAATTATTTATATATATATATGAAAATGTTTTTTTCACATGCTTTGAGTTTATCGGATTTAACTTTGTAGATCTAATGAGTAATGGGCACCAATTAATTTTAATTGATATCATTATCACTTTAATTTGATGTAATTTTGAGATTACACACACTCACTAATTAATTTATATATATATATATATGTGTGTATGGACTTTAAGGAGTAGCGCTACATTTTTTATTGTATTTATTTATCACAATCACTAGTATATGATTTAATGTTAGCTTCTCCTGGTGTTTTTTATACAGTTGAAACACTTGGGAGCGCAGGAGGTTCACACCACTACTCTTGCAAATAACCTCCTTTTCTAACATTTAGTAGGATAGCAGAGAGCCGTTTAGCTATCATTTTGTCGTGTTAAACATAGTTGACCTGTGTCATGACATGGCCTGCTTAAGGTATGTATTATGTGTGTATGTGTATGTAATATACAGTTGTGTTGAAAATAATAGCAGTCAGACATCACTAACCGGATCAATCACTGTTTTTGGTGGAAATGATATTTCTACATGGCAAATAATTTCCTAGCAGGTGTAGTAGAGTCATAGAAATCCAACAGACCCAACAGTCATGACATGCATGCTGCTGATTCTGTGTCATTGAATCACTCATTGAAAGGGGCGTGTTCAAAATAATAGCAGTGTGGAGTTCTATTAGTGAGGTCATTCATTCATGCCCTTATTTAAGGAAGGAAGGCAGCAAATGTTCGACATTCTGGTTACAGTGCATTTCTCTCTGAAATTCTGAGGAAAATGGGTCGTTCCAGACATTGTTCAGAAGAACAGCGTACCTTGATTAAAAAGTTGATTGGAGAGGGGAAAACATATAAAGAAGTGCAGAAAATGATCGGCTGCTCAGCTAAAATGATCACAAATGCTTTAAAATGGCAAACAAAACCTGAAAGACGCGGAAGAAAGCGAAAAACTACCATTGGAATGGATAGAAGAATAGCCAAAATGGGGCGGACTCAGCCAACAATCAGCTCCAGGAAGATGAAAGAAGGTGTGACGTTCCCTGTGAGGACTGTTACAATTAGAAGACGCCTATGTGAAGCCAAGCTATCTGCAAGAAGTCCCCGCAAAGTCCCACTGTTGGGAAAAAGACGTGCTGAAGAGGTTACAATCTGCCAAAGAGCACATTGACTGGCCTAAAGAGAAATGGCGCAACATTTTGTGGACTGATGAAAGTAAGATTGTTCTTTTTGGGTCTAGTGGGCGGAGACAGTTTGTCAGACGACCCCCAAACACTGAATTCAAGCCACAGTACACTGTGAAGACCGTGAAGCATGGTGGTGCAAGCATCATGATATGGGGATGTTTCTCATACTATGGTGTTGGGCCTATTTATCGCATACCAGGGATCATGGATCAGTTTGAATCCATCAGAATACTTGAAGAGGTTATGCTGAAGAGGAAATGCCCTTGAAATGGGTGTTCCAACAAGACAACGACCCCAAACACACCAGTAAACGTGCAACATCTTGGTTCCAGACCAACAAGATGGACGTTATGGAGTGGCCAGCCCAATCCCCGGATCTTCATCCAATAGAAAACTTGTGGGGTGACATCAAAAATGCCGTTTCTGAGGCAAAACCAAGAAATAGAGAAGAACTGTGGAATGTGGTCCAATCATCCTGGGCTGGAATACCTGATCACAGGGGCCAGAAGTTGGGGGACTCCATGCAACACAGATGTACAGCAGTTCTCAGAAACAGTGCGACTACAACCAAATATTCATGAAGTCATTCAAAGGAAAGCAAAATCTTCAAACATTTCTCAGTTTATATAGTGAATGTTTGAGTTTGTAAAGAAGAATACAAACACTGCCATTTTTTTGAACCGTCTAATATTCACTTTTCTTCCATTTTTTTAGAGGAACAACACAAATTTGATGTATTTTTCTTCATGTTTTGATTTGGAATAGAATGTGTCGTGTTCCCAATGCATTTGTGTGGATGGAAATAAAAGCTGTTAGAAGGATTTTCAGGTTTAGTCACTTTTTTCAACACACTGCTATTATTTTGAACACAACTGTATGTATGTATGTATATATGTGTGTGTATGTATGTATGTATGTATGTATGTATATATGTGTGTGTATATGTATATATATGTATGTATGTATGTGTGTGTGTGTGTGTGTGTGTATATATATATATATATATATATATATATATATATATATATATATATATATATATATATATATATATACACACACAAGCTGCCTCTGTGTTCTTCCAGCAGCAAGTAACAACAAATCTAATAAAATTTCCATGGGTACTTCTTTTATTTTTTTTTTATTTTTTTTTTTATGTAGCGTGAATCATTTTATCTTCACCCATGACATGACATGACATTTTGAGGCTTCAATATTAAAGCTGAGCTCCAGACAGAACTAACTTTGAGCAAAAGCCGAGTACAAGCCGCAGCCAGCCAGCCATACATTGTCCTGTACTCTTCCTCTGTCCAGAATCTTCCTGTCCATACAATGGTCAGTGCTCCCTAATCACACCTATTTAATGGTCTTTCAGGAGATTTGTATTAGTTATCTGGATTGCTGTCAGAGGGAGCGAAGCCGGCACAGCCGACACAGGATACTCAGGTCAGTTTCTGCAGCTGGTCTCAATTATTGGCTCTTCTGTAGATGACATGAACAGAGATTTACTACAACTGCACGGTGCAAAACCTGGTGCATAGAAGCCAATCCGCTTCCAGGTTGTACTGTCAAAGTTTAATTTAACAAGCTGAAGGTGGAAGCTGATTGGCTCCCACGCACAGCCACACCAGATTTTGCCCTCTCCAGTTTTAGTAACTCTAACCCCATAGTGTGAAAGCACTGGAGTTCAGGGTGCAGGCCCACCAGGAACAATGTCTGCATGGTCCTAGGATGTTCTCTTTGGGTTTCCTCCAACTGTCTAGAAAACTTTTTGATTGAGTTACTCATTTCAGAGTTTGGGATCCCCTGTGGAGCAGAGAATATGACGGGCTCAGTGTTCTCTGTACAGCGCTGCGGACTATGTCAGGGCAGGGAAGGACTGACCATTTGGGAACTTTGGCACTGCCTGAGGGTACGGGGTCAGTAGGGGGCCCCATGAGATGCCCCTGGTACCTTTTTTTTTTTCATAGGCTTTTTTTGGGTGTGGTTTGAGTGTATGTGAGGACACGGGCTCCATGATCTCCTATTGCCCAGGGGCCCCTTGAGTTGTCAGTCTGCCCCTGTGTCAGAGCTATATAAATGTATAATAATAGTGTGTGACTGTGGGGAAAGGGAGGACATTAGAGTGTAAGCTCCTCTGGTTCAAGATGGATGTGACTGGCTCAGTGTTCTCTTTACAGCGCTGCGGTATATGTCAGCGCTATAAAAATGTATAATAATAGTGTGTGACTGGGGGAGGGGACATTAGAGTGTAAGCTTCTCTGGTACAGAGACTGATGTGACTGTGGGGGAGGGGACATTAGAGTGTAAGCTCTTCTGGTACAGAGACTGATGTGACTGGCTCAGTGTTCTCTGTACAGCGCTGCGGTATATGTCAGAGCTATATAAATGTATAATAATATGTAAGTGGTCTGACGTGACTGGGGGGGGGGGACATTAGAGTGTAAGCTCCTCTGGTACAGAGACTGATGTGACCGGCTCAGTGTTCTCTGTACAGCGCTGCGGACTATGTCAGAGCTATATAAATGTAGAATGCCTGAAATGATGATCTCGGCTCCTTCTTTCTCCAGGGAGAACTACCTGTTCATCTGCTCCTGTCCGAAGTGCCTGTCCCAGTCGGAAGACCCAGACGTCACCTCGGAGGAGGAAGACGAGGACGCTGAACTGGAAGAGACGGACGACGCCGAGCTGGAAGATGAGATGACCGATGTCTGATCAGCTGCACCGTCAGGACCTTCCATCCGCCCCTCTACAGCACGAGGATCTGGAGATGCCGACCATTCCCCCCACGACCAACCCTGAGAGCCCCCCCGTAACGGAGCACTTTGATTGGCTAAGCCTTTGCCACGGGAAGACTGTTCATTACAAACACTGTTCTCGCGACGTTCCTTTTTATACCTCTTCCTCACATTTGGGGGCCTAACCACGGTATGCGAGGGCTGCGAGGTTTGTGGATCCTTCCAGATAAATGTTTACATTTTTCTTCATACTACGTGGTGACAATTTTATAGAATCTGCAATTTACATATTTCATTATTTATATATACACCCCCCCCCCCCCCCCCTGCATGACATGGTTCAGTAAAGGCAATCTTGCTTGGCATCCGCACTTTTTTTTTTTTTCTGCCAATTAATAGCTGCTGTCATGTTACAGATCCTGTGTGTGCATGTTGAATTGTACATGACGACTGCAGTCTCCTCTTCCAGGTTACAACATTTTCCTGTAGGACCTTCCATGATGACCATCCTAGGTTCTTGGCTTCTGAAAATTGGCTTGGTGGGTTTTTGGCATGGGGGCACCATTGGTGCGAAGGTTCAGACTGCACCGGAGCGACCACTCCACTCCTATCTATGTGGCGCTTGTAGTTCAGCCTAACGATGACCCAGTAATAAGTCGGGATGCACCGGAATTTCGGTGGCCGACACGTTTCTGCCAAAAACACCACTTTCGGCTGTCGGCCAAAATGGGGAAAAAAACACATACAGGTGCCGAAAAAACCCCACCCCCTCAAAGCCGCTCACCGCCTGCCCTCTGGCCGCCGCTCAGTAATTCAAACCATCAAACAATCCCGGCACTGGGCATAGAGATGGCTGAAGGAAAGATGGCCGCCACTCATCTCTATGCCCTTGGAGGACTGGACCGATGTCACTTCCTGTTCCGGCCATTTTGGAGGTAGGTTACATGCTACCCTATACCTGGAACCCCAGGGTTCTGTCCCCAGCTGCACATGACACAAAATCACTGGCTAGCTGAGAAGACATTTTGGGGGGCCCTTTGCAAAGGCAGTTTAATTGTAATTTGCCCAAAATAGAAGTGAAACTCCAGCTAAAATTTTTTTTTTTTTTCTTTTCTTTTTTTCTTTCTTTATGGCTTGATTGTCCAAGGCAGGGGCAGACTGACCATTTGGAAACTCGGGCACTGCCCGAGGACCCAGGATCAGTAGGGGGCCCCATGAGATGCCCCTGGTACCTTTTTCATAGGCTTTTTTGAGATTGGGCAGGGACACAGGGGCCCCATGATCCCCTATTGCCCGGGGGCCCCATGAGTGGTCAGTCCGCCCCTGGTCCAAGGCCTTCAATGCCTTGTTCCTGTGCCGTGGTTCTGGGAGGATTCCCGATCCCGTCCTGTTCTAATGGTCACCAAGACAGGAAGTGAGGGGAAATCTCTGCAGTGAGGAGTGAGGGCACAGCTGCTTTCTCATTGGTCAGCAGGATGCTCCCTTAGGCTCTGTTCACACCAAGGCGTTTTTTAGTTTTTTGTAGAAACGCACTACAGTCCACGTAACATGGTTTCCTATGGGACACGTTCGCATCTAGGGTTTTTTTTTTTTTTTTGGAGCAGCTGCGTTTTTTGAAAGGGTCAGGGACTTTTTTTTTTTTTTTTTAAAAGCAAAAAGCAGTGTTTTATCTACAATAGATTTCAAGGGAGAATCTGAAATGCATGGTAGTGCGTTTTTATCACGTTTTGCATTTTTTATTCTGCCCAGCAACAACAAAAAAAAAAATTGAACAAAACGCGGTTAAAAACGTGAAAAATGGAACTGCGAAAAGCACTCCAAAACGGACAAAAAGCAAACGACATAGGTGTGAATGGAGCCTTAAAGGCTTAATTTTTTTTACCTTCGTGTATTCTATGCATGAAGGTAAAAAAAACTATTTTCAGCAGTGCCCCCAGCCCCCCTCAATACTTACCTGAGCCCCATCGCGATTCATCTCATTGGCTGAGACAGCAAGCAGGAGCCATTGGCTCCCACTGCTGCCAGTGAGGAGAGAGAGGGGGTGGAGCCAAGCCACAGGTCCATGTAAGAATGGACACATGGAGCAGCGGGTGCCCCCATCGCAAGTGGTTTGCTGTGGGGGCACCCAACAGGAGGGAGGAGCCAGGAGAGCCTGCAGGGGACCCGAGAAGAGGATCACAGCTGCTTTTGTGCAAAACCACTGGCCCACAGCAGGCAAACATAACCTTTTTAGTATTGCTTTAAGTCGGGGTGAGGCCAATGTACTTGGTGATCTGGTGGGATCCTGGGAAAGCAGAGGATCCCAAATCCTGCAAGAATGTACGATGCATCAGCAGTTTCTTTTGAGTATTGTGGCCCTTAGCTTTCCTAGTAGCCTTCTGCAGGGCCAGTGATGCCACTGAAGCTTACAAAAAGCCATCGGAAGCCATGTGTAGGGCAATTTTTATTTTTTTTTTTTTTTTTCTTCAAATGTTTTGTTACTTTCATGGAGTGTGTAGTTTTTTTGTTGTGTTTTTTTTGTTTTTTTTTTTTGTATTTGTTTTTTTTTCCTGAAAGGTAGGTGGCTATGAGCAGACTTTGCATTTTCATGTGATGTCTGCATTATATTGGCTTTCACCTGTGGTCTTTATGGGTTATGAGTCTGTGCCAAAAATGTGTAGGCATCCCCCTATTTATGAAATTCTAGATATTCATTTCTTCCCAGCCTAAACTGCCAATTTTCAGACCCCACTGAACAATGTGCCGTGTGTGTGGATGTGCTGCACACAAACCAATCAATGGTAGGAGATCAGGTTCTCGTGGTCACACTACAAGAGACTTTCAGCTACTTTCACACTGATCCATATAAAAAATGCATGTGTTTTTATCTCGCTTGTGCGTTTTTTTTTTTCTTTTTTTTACAAGACGTAAATCCATTGATTTCAAAGGTGAGGTTTTTTTTTTTTTTTTTTTTTTCCCACACCAAAAATGCAGCAGGCAGGATTTAAAAAAAAAAAAAAAAAAAAACACTGGACCCAAAACGGATCAGTGTGAAGAGTTTCGTGGGAATACATGGTCACGTGTTCATAAGTGGTTTTGCGTAAAAAAACAAAAACAAAAAAAACACTTAAAAAGAACACATGACCATGTACTCCCACGAAACTCTTCACATTGATCCATTTTGGGTCCGATGTGTTTTTTTTTTTTTTTTTTTTTTTTTTTTTTTTTCCGCACAAGAAATTTATCAGGCAGGATTTAAAAAAAAAAAAAAAAAACACATCGGACCCAAAAAGGATCAATGTGAAGAGTTTCATGGGAATACATGGTCACGTGTTCATAAGTGGTTTTGTGTAAAGAAAAAAACAAAAACACTTAAAAAGAACACATGACCATGTATTCCCATGAAACTCTTCACATTGATCCTTTTTGGGTCTGATGTGTTTTTTTTTTTTTTTTTTTTTTTGTTTTTTTAAATCCTGCCTGCTAAATTTCTGGTGTGGAAAAAGAAAAAGCACCAAAAATGTACCTCCCTTTTGAAATCAATGGATTTACATCTTGAAAAAAAAAAAAAAAAAAAAACACACCGGACCCAAAACGGATCAATGTGAAGAGTTTTGTGGGAATACGTGGTCACGTGTTTTTAGGTGTTTTTGTGTAAAAACAAAAACCAGTTCAAAAGAACTCGTGACCGTGTATTCCCACGAAACCCTTCAAACTGGTCTATTTTGGGTCTGATGTGTATACATTTTTTTTTTTTTTTTTTTTTTTTTTAAATCCTGCCTGCTAAATTTTTGGTGTGGGGAAAAAAAAAAGCACCAAAAATGCACCTCCCCTTTTGAAATCAATGGATTTACATCTTGTAAAAAAAAAAAAGAAAAAAATCACACCGGACCCAAAACGGATCAGTGTAAAGAGTTTTGTGGGGGAATACATAGTCACGTGTTCTTTTTAAGGGTTTTTTTTTTTTTTGCTTTTTTTTACACAAAAGAAGAAAAACGGATTGGTGTGAGAGCCTTACTTGCAGCTCCATCCTGGCATACATAAGAACTGCTATGGAGACAAACGGGTTGATCTACCAAAACTGGTGCACTCAAAGTCTGGTGCAGCTCTGCATAGTAACCAATCAGCTTCCAGGTTTTATTGTCAAAGGTTGACTGAACAACCTGAAGTTAGAAGCTGATTGGCTGCCGTGCACAGCTGCACCAGATTCTGAGGGCTCCAGTTTGAGTAAATCTCCCCCATGGTGTTTAAGTTGTGAGGGGTTCTTCTGCTGGATTTATTGAGTTCCTATTATGAAGACTTTCTTCATAATAGGAACTCAATACAACTTTTGTACTGTAAGGTTTTGGAAAGGGAATCGGGAACTTTAGTAAGGAAATCTAGATGCTGGAGTCCCCATCAGTTGGGCTTAAGATGGTTATTCCACCCGTTTGGCTTTTACTAAACCCTTTGTTGAACTCAACCTAAGCTTTTGTTTTGGACAGTGTGATGAAATGTTAGATCTGCTGTAAGATTTCTGTACTGCTCTGTGCCTGCTGGGGAGATGATATCATGTGAAAGGAAATCTCAGCTAGGTAAGGAGGAATCCCATCGTTTGACAGCTGTCCTCATCAGAGTAGGCATCGCTCTTCTTCCATGGAGAGGACGTAAGGGGACATAGGCTCCCCTCATATCATAAACAAGTTCCAACCTATCCAGAAGTAAAAAGTCTTGGTTGAAGATCCAGTTTACGATTTTTTTGGGTGGTCCCTGTCCATCACCATTTCATGACATTGGGTGCATGATCTGTCCACTTAGTTTAATAGACTGGTGACCACACTTTTATTGCGCATGAGTCGTCCTCCTTCGTAATCTTACATCTTGGTCCTTCAAGCTTTCATATTTGATGGTTGCCAAACTAGTGGTGTTCTCTGGTTAGGAGAAGATTTTACATTTTTATATGGAAGTAGAAATCTCTGCTGTGGTATGTTAGACGGTACCTAGAGGCTGTGTTACCCAGAAGTCCTTGATGCTGGGGTTCTCCTCCTTCTCAGACCACTGAATTCCATTTTACTTCTGAGCCGTTTGCCAATCTTCTGCTTCCTATAGAACAAATGAACTCGTCTGGGTCTTTCGACTCCTTCTGATCTTCCATATAAATCTGGTTTGATGTGTGTGCTGCAATCTATTTTCATTGTTGGAAATCAAACGTACATGATCTGAAATAAACTGAAGTAAAGGGCCATTTTTTTTTTTCTATGGTTGAACTGGATGGACTTTTGTCTTTTTTTTTTTTTTTCAGCCAGACTAACTATGTAACTATCACAGCCAATAAGATTTATTTTTAGGCAAAACCTGATGTGGCTCCAACACTGGCTCAAGGTTCACTCCGTTGTCCAGTCATTGGCTCCATTGTCCAAGCCCTTTACTGTGTGCATGCAGAATTATTAGGGACGTTGTATTTTTGAGGATTAATTTCATTATTGAACAACTACAGTGCTCTCGGCCAATCCAAAATGTTAATAAACCTCAAACCTGAATATTTAAAAAAGTAAAAGTGAGGTTTTGGCTATCTTAGGAGATCTGTGTGCACAATTATTATGCAACTAAATGGAAAAATGAAAATGTTCCCATCTCACTTGTTTGTTTTCATCTGTTAAAGTGAGAATATCAAACAAAACAATCAAAATTTACAAATAAACATTTCTGATATTGAAAAACAAAAAGTGACCAATATAGCCACCCTTTTTGTTCAATACCAGTCATAAACCTTCCATTCATGGAGTTTGTCCAGTTTTTTGATCCATTGACGATCAACGTTTTGTGCAGCAGCAACCACAGCCTCCCAGACACTGTGCAGAGAGGTGTACTGTTTTCCTTCATTGTAAATCTCCCATTTAAGAAGGGCTCACAAGTTCCCAATAGGGTTTAGGTCAGGTGAGGACGGGGGACATGTCATTCTTCTTTCATTTTTAAGGCCTTTTACTGACTAGCCACGCAGTGGAGTACTCCGATGCATGCGATGGAGCATTGTCCTGCATATATATCATGGTCTTCTTGAAAGATGCAGACTTTTTCTTGTACCACTGCTTGAAGAAAGTGTCTTCTAAAAACTGGCAGTAGGTTTGGGAGTTGATTTTGAGCCCATCTTCAACCCGAAAAGCTCCAACTAGCTCATCTTTATTAATAGCAGCCCATACCAGTACCCCACCTCCACCTTGCTGGCATTTGAGTCAAAGTGGAGCTCTTTGCCTTTTACTGATCCAGCCACGGGCCCATCCATCTGGTCCGTCAAGAGTCACTCTCATCTCATCAGTCCATAAAACCTTTGAAAAATCTGTCTTCAGATAATTCTTGGCCCAGTCTTGACATTTCAACTTGTGTCTTGTTCAGTGGTGGTCAGGTTTCAGCCTTCCTTACCTTGGCCATGTCTCTGAGCACTGAACACCTCGTACTTCTGGGTACTCCAGGTAGGTTGCAGTTCTGGAATAGGCCAGCTCTGGAGGATAATGGGATCATTGTAGCTTCACGTTTGGATTCTTCTCAAATCTTTGGCAGTAAATTTGTCTTTTATTTTTTTCAATGAGTCTCTTGAGATCCTGTTGACTAATTGCAACAAAACGTTTGACTTTGTAATCACGCCCCAATATCTTAGCATTTTTAAGAGTGCTACATCCCTCTGAAAGACTAATATTTGTGCACACGCCGTAGTCCTATCATTCCATGGAATCATCCTCAGTACAGCTTTCATTAGTGTTTTTGACAAATTTAGAAGTGCTTTATAGAACCAATGACATATAATTCCCCCCTCCCAGTAGTTATTGGATTAGCCCCATCACTTTGGGTACAGCATGGTGTAAGCCAGGGTTTCCCAACCTTTTTTCAGTCAAGGCACCCTTTAAAAATGGACAGTCCCGAGGCACCCTTTAAAATCATGGACAGTCCTGAGGCACCCTTTAAAATCATGGACAGTCTTGAGGCACCCCATTGTAAAATATGAGAAACTATTCTAATAGTTTTTATAACGCAGCAACATCCACACATGTAGGACACCCAACATTAGAGGGGATTTATTAACTAAAAGGCAGGATTGTTCCATCGCTGGCTTGTATATAAGTTTTGGGCAGCTTTTAGATATTTTGCCAAGGCACCTCTGAAGAAACCTCAAGGCACCCTGGTTGAGAAAGGCTGGTCTAAGCATACCTGTCCTTTGCCTGATCACTACTGATACTTACTTTCTGCAGGTCCCCCTTACCTCTCCATTTGCTGCTCCGGATGTAAAAACCCTGAGTAAGTTTCCACTAAGGTTGGACATGCCTACTAACTCTCCTGATATCTGTATTAGACATTGAGATTTGCTGCTCAGGTACCATCCTGGGAGGAAGGGAGGGGGAGTCACATGCACACTCCTACCGGAACTACTAGGTTATGGTTTTTTTTTTTGGTTTTTTTTTTTCCTTTTTTTTTTTTTTTTTTTTCTGTTTTTCTTCTTTTTTTGTTTTTCTTCTCCTTTTTCCTTCTCCTTTTTCCTGTTTTTCTTTTCCTTTTTTTTTTTTGTTTTTCTTGGGGACAACGGGGGAGTATTGGGATGGTAGGAATCAGCAGTGATGGGGCAGAATGCATTACTGTGAACTGAATAGGCCGGATTATTTGACTTTTATACTAAACTACATTTCAGATTGTGGGAGTTCTGACTTGGCATGGCACTTGGCCTGTGTAATTTCTGTAAGCCAGTGTACTGCTCCATGTTCTGTTTTTTTTTTTTTGTTTTTTTTTTTTTTGGCCAAAACCCCTGAAGTCGACTCAGTAAAAGGCTATAAGTATATGGTATCCAACACAGAGTGGTAACTGCGAGGATCTATACAACGATCCCACACGTCCGATTCAAACTAATGGGAAAACCAAACCAGGAGGGAAGGCCTTAGAGTGGACTCTATAGTCCAGGGGTGTCCAAATTCCTGTATGATCCTCCAGCTGTTGCCAAACTACAAGTCCCATCATGCCTCTGCCTTTGGGAGTCATGCTTGTAACTGTCAAACTTGCAATGCCTCATGGGGTTTTTAGTTTGGCAACAGCTGGTAAGCCGCCAGTTTGACACCCGTGCCTTAGGGCAACCAATCTGCCTATCTTTAGAGATAACCACAAAGCCAGTGTACTGTTCCATGTACTCTACAAGAGACAAATCCGGAGACCATGTTCAGGGGTTTTGGCCAAAAAAAAAAAATGTCAAAAGCTCCTAAAGTCAACTCCGTAAAAGGCTATAAAGATATGGTATCCAACACAGAGTGGTAACTGCGAGGATCTAAACAATGATCCAAGTGCCACGCCCGATTCAAACTAATGGGAAAACCAAACCAGGATGGAAGGCCATCGAGTGGACTGTATAGGCCAGAGGTGTCCAAACTATGGCCCTGTTGTGAAACTACAAGTCCCATCATGCCTCTGCCTTTGGGAATCATGCTTGTAACTGTCAATCTTGCAATACCTCATGGGACTTGTAGTTTGGCAACAGCTTGAGGGCTGCCAGTTTGACACCCGTGCCTTAGGATAACCAATCCGCCTATCTTTAGAGATGACCACAAAGCTAGTGTATTGCTTCTTGTTCTGTACAAGAGACCAATCCTGAGACCAAGTTGAGGAGCTTTTGGCTTTTTTTTTGGCCAAAACCCTTGAAGTCAACTCGGTAAAAGGCTATAAAGATATGGTATCCAACACCGAGTGGTAACTGTGAGGATCTATACAAGGATCCCAAGTGCCACGCCCGGTTCAAACTAATGGGAAAACCAAACCAGGAGGGAAAGCTGTAGAGTGGACTCTATAGGCCAGGGGTGTCCAAACTATGGCCCTCCAGACCCATCATGCCTCTGGGTGTCTTACCTGTGAATGTCAGTCTTGCAAGGCCTCATGGGACTTGCACTTCCTCAACACCTGGAGACACAGTTTGGACACCGCTGCTATAGGCACTACAACAGTATTCATAAAATTTTTGTTCATGTAGCAACTCCTGAAGAAGCGATATCATCGCGAAACATGTGAAGTGACTACGGGTATTGATATCGGAATATCTCTCTCCAGACTCGTACCGGGCGATATATATGTATATTCTCATTGTGGGATGCATGAACACTGATGTACCTACGAGATTTGTAACTGCCCGGAGTGTACTGTTCCATCGGGGGAATACACTCTGCAGAGAATTTTACTAATTGTCGTATGTTTGTGTATATACAATAAAGCTACAATTGTAATGAATGCTGTTGTGGTGCCTATGAAGTCCACTCTATGGCCTTTCATCCTGGTGTTCCCATCCACTGGGTAAAGGCCTATATGTCCATGCACACCTGGGCTGATACCAGAGTTTAGAGGCCGTTCCATGTTCCTCTTAATGCAGAAGAATCTCGTTAAGGACAGGAATGTTTTGGTGAAAAAGGAAGCCAAATGTGCCTAAGAGCCCGCCTCATTCAGCGCTTGGGTATTTATTCAATTATTCATTGGCCAGAGTACTTGTCATTGAAATGAACAAACGCCCGAGTGCTGACTGTTGTATCGCTTTTGCCGCATTTAACTTTTTTTTTTTTTTTCTGCTACCCGGAACGTTAATGTCAAGGGGTGTTCCAGGGTGCCTGTAGCCATCCACACTCGGCCCTTCCTGGGCTGGAACCCCTGATCCTCCATTGTCTGGACACACCCCTGAGTACCCGTGTGCTGACTGCTCCCATTGTTGCTGCAACACGCACCCCGACCTGTACCCTCCAGCACTCTTCCATTGTTCTGCTAGAATGCGGTTGTCATTGCTCCACTAACACTCAACTCATTTTGTAGGAATGGAGGTTGCACTGTGATGCTGGGCCCTGTGGGATTTGTATGCATGATCGTGGGACTATGCAAGCAATAAAAGCATTTGTGAGACTGACCCTGGCTCATCTTCTTCTTTTTTTTTTTTTTTTTTCTTCTGTATTGTCGGGTTTTTTGTTCTTTTTCTTCTTGTTCTCGTTCTTTTCTTTTTTTTGTTATTTTTCTTTGATCTTTTTTTCTTGTTCCTTTTTCTTGTTGTTGTTTTTTTTTTTGTTTTGTTCCTTTTTCTTCTTGTTCCCTTGTTTTTCCTTTTTTCCATTTTTTCCCTTGTTCTTTTCCCCTTGTTCTTTTCCCCTTGTTCTTTTTCTTTTCCCTTGTTCTTTTCCCCTTGTTCTTTTCCCCTTGTTCTTTTCCCCTTGTTCGTTCTTTTCCCCTTGTTCGTTCTTTTCCCCTTGTTCGTTTTTTTTCCCCTTGTTCGTTTTTTTTCCCCTTGTTCGTTTTTTTTCCCCCTTGTTCGTTTTTTTTTCCCCTTGTTCGTTTTTTTTTTTTCCCCTTGTTCGTTTTTTTCCCCTTGGTTTTTTCCTTTTTTTTTTTTTCCCTTTGGTTTTTTCCTTTTTTTTTCCCCCTTGGTTTTTTCCTTTTTTTTTCCCCCTTGGTTTTTTCCTTTTTTTTTTCCCCCTTGGTTTTTTCCTTTTTTTTTTCCCCTTGGTTTTTTCCTTTTTTTTTTTCCCCTTGGTTTTTTCCTTTTTTTTTTTCCCCTTGGTTTTTTCCTTTTTTTTTTTTTTTTTCCCTTGGTTTTTTCCTTTTTTTTTTCCCTTGGTTTTTTCCTTTTTTTTTTCCCTTGGTTTTTTCCTTTTTTTTTTTTCCCCTTGGTTTTTTTTCCTTTTTTTTTTCCCCTTGGTTTTTTCCTTTTTTTTTTTCCCCTTGGTTTTTTCCTTTTTTTTTCCCCTTGGTTTTTTCCTTTTTTTTTTCCCCTTGGTTTTTTCCTTTTTTTTTCCCCTTGGTTTTTTCCTTTTTTTTTCCCCTTGGTTTTTTTCCTTTTTTTTTCCCCTTGGTTTTTTCCTTTTTTTTTTTTCCCCTTGGTTTTTTCCTTTTTTTTTTCCCCTTGGTTTTTTTCCTTTTTTTTTTCCCCTTGGTTTTTTCCTTTTTTTTTTTCCCCTTGGTTTTTTTTCCTTTTTTTTCCCTTTTTTTTCCTTTTTTTTTTTTTTTTCTTCAGCTGTGTCTGTGAGCTGCGTGCTTTTCAAGAGCTTTGTTTTCACTGGCTGCATGCTTATTCTGGCTCTGACGCAAGAATTAAAAAAAAAAAATGGAATAGCCAGACAGGTAGTAGGAAGAATCGTCAATGGCAGCCTGTGCATTTCTTTCCTTTGCAAGCAACCTATTTCTAGCGGTTTTACTGTAAGCCGCTCCAACTATGAACTATACTGTTTCTATAAAACTGGCCGGGACAAGATCTTTTAAAATGGCATTGTTTGGACCCTTGAGGCTTGGTTCTGCCTTCATTTGGGTGTTGCTGTCTTGCCTCTCACAGCACAGAGAAAAGGCAAATCCAGGCTGTCAGTTGCAGCCTGCACATCCACGGCCTCCTGCACTTTGGGTATTTATCCCCTTTTCCATCAAATTTTTCGTGCCCCCTGGCAGGCAGGCATAGCTCCAACATTCCAGCCCCTGCTGCCTGGCGAACTCTGACATATGCTATGGCTGGACACTGCACCAAGGGACGCATGTCTGCAATGTAGGTAGTCTGTGTTTCGGATATACATCCATGACCGTATACAACCCTCAGGGCGGGTAGCGCTCGGTACGGTGCCCAACCTCAGCCTATTTTCAGCCAGTCACAGGCAGGCAGCAGAGCCGGACTCTGCACCCAAGCCTCCGGGGCAAATAAAACCGCCGAATTCGATGCTCAGGGATAAAAGCTCCAGGTGCTTGTAGCCGAAGACTCCTCCACCACCCCATTCCTGTGACCATTGTGTAGGACAGAGCTGCCCGGGGAAGGGGCTAGAGAGGCAGATGAGGGCCTAATGCTTGCTGTTTGCATTTTGGTAATAGTTCAGGTCAAGCGCTACATTTTCAGGACAAGGAAGAGCGTGCTTAGAAATGAAGAACCTGATCCTCAATACTTAGAGCTGAACTTTGGGCCGGCAAAAGGTATTTTTTTTTTTTTTTTATTTGTACCGTGCTGTAGGGCTGTGCCCATACTGCATGGGTTAGATGCTGTTTTTACTCTGGGCAGGGGTGGGCAACTGGCCCTCCAGCTGTTGGTGAACTAAAAGTCCCATCATGCCTCTGCCTTTGAGAGTCATGCTTGTAACTGTCAATTTTGCAATGCCTCGTGGGACTTGTAGTTCTACAACAGCTGGAGGGCCACAGTTGCCCACCCCTGCTCTAGGGTGATGGACAGCAAGGATGCACTTACCTGATCCTCCTTGCACAAGGCCGGCGCTCCATTGCTCTTGAAAAATGGACTGGTCCTGACATCCACACACTCCATAGACAGGAACAGTCCACTGCTGGACTGTAGGGGAGCATGGTTTTCCAGAGGATCAGGTGAGTATAAACAAAGGGTTGCACTGATATCAGCATCGGTACTAAGCATTTTCACGAGTACTCCTAGAGATGCTGAAACCAGTGCCTTTTGCAGTTCAATTTCAGTCCATGAAAAAAAAAAAAATGAATGGGATCAAATTGCACTGAAATAGCTCTACTTCAGCTGAAGTAATGGTGAAATTCCTGTCTGAATTGCATGCGGTTTCCCTTTGGGTGCAGTGTGATTTATTTATTTTTAATTTTTTTCAGGTACTTGTATAGCGCCAGCAATTTGTGTGTGTGTATATATATATATATATCATTCACATTGGTCTCCACCCCTGAGGAGTGTACAGTCTAAGGTCCCTAACTCACATTCATACATACACATACTAGGGACAATATAGACAGGAGCCAATTCACCTACCAGCATGTCTTTGGAGTGTGGGAGGAAACCGGAGTACCAGAAACCCAGGCAGGTACAGGGAGAACATGCAAACACCAAGCAGGTGGTGCCTTGGTTGGGATTCAAACCAACGACCCCGAGTACTGCCTGGCGGGAAGTGCTAACCATTTAGCCACTGTGCTTCCCCCGGTTTAAGCCATTCGTTTTGTATGGTGGGAATCGCACCGCCTTCCTGTTTGAATCCCATGCGGTTCTTTCCAGTGCGATTTGAGGACATTCGTTGTGAATGGGCTCAAACTGCAGTGCAGAGGTATCAGTATAAGTGAGTACTTAAGCACAAGTATCGGTACTCTTACTTGCCAATTTAAAAAAAAAAAAAAAAAAGTATCCATCCAATCCTATTATAAACTTTGTGCTCACCCCTAGAAAAAAAAAAAAAAAAGTTGACACAACCCAGCTCCATGAAAGAAGGGGGGGGGGGGGGGTTTGCCCGGAGTTGAGCTTTAAGCTCCCAACCAGCTGTGTCATCTGTTGGCTCCCTCACTATTGCAGACCTGGGGTCGGCCATGTTGAATGGCATAATTCCACACATGCACAAAGATTGTTCCTCCTGGCACGGTGGGGGGTGTATGCAGTGTACAAGAAGTCTGTGAGCGGGCAAAGTACAATGCTTTAATATGGATTATAGTCTGTCTTCTGGAAAGAAAAAGGTGAAAAAGTTTTGTTCCGGGGGTGTAGTTCTGCTTGGAAGTTCTACATGCTTATGAAGAAAAGCTCTAGTAAGAGGAACTTGGAGTTGTCTCTCTGGATAAATTAAGCCCCGGGGGTGAAACGTGGTGGACAGACACTATTATATCTATCACACACTATATTGCCAAAAGTATTGGGCCCTCCCAGTCATGTGATTCAGGTGTTCCAATCCCCTCCATGGACACAGGTGTATACAGTCAAGCCCCTAGGCATGCAGACGGCTTCTACAAACATTGGTGAAAGAATGGGTCGCTCTCAGGAGCTCAGTGACTCCAAGCGTGGTCACGTGATAGGTGGTCACCTGGGCAATAAGTCCATCCATGACATTTCCTGGCTACTAAATATTCCACGCTCAACTGTTAGTGGGATTATAACAAAGTGGAAGCAACTGGGAACAACACCAACTCAGCCACCAAGTGGTAGGCCACGTCACATGACAGGGCGGGGTCAGCGCATGCTGAAGCGCACAGTGCGCAGAAGTCGTCAACTGTCTGCAGTCAATAGCTAAAGACCTCCAAACTTGGTGTGGCCTTCAGATGAGCCCAACAACAGTGTGTAGAGAGCTTCATGGAATGGGTTTCCATGGCCGAGCAGCTGCATCCAAGCCTTCCATCACCAAGTGCAATGTAAAGCGTCGGATGCTGTGGTGTAAAGCACGCCGCCACTGGACTCTAGAGCAGTGAAGACGTGTTCTCTCGAGTGACCAATCACGCTTCTCTGGCAATCCGATGGACATGTCTGGGTTTGGCGGATGCCAGGAGAACGGTACTTGCCGGACTGCATTGTGCCAAGTGTAAAATTTGGTGGAGGGGGATTATGGTGTGGGGTTGTTTTTTAGGGGTTGGCCCCCTAGTTCTAGTGAAGGGAACTCTTAAGGCGACATTTTGGACATTTTCATGCCCCCAACTTTGTGGGAAGAGTTTGGGGATGGCCCTTTCCTGTTCCAACATTACTGGGCACCAGTGCACAAAGCAAGGTCCATAAAGACATGGAGGAGCCAGTTTGGGGTGGAGGAACTTGACTGGCCTGCACAGAGTCCTGACCTCAACCCCATAGAACACCTTTGGGATGAATTAGAGCGCAGATTGTGAGCCATGCCTCCTCCCCCGACATCAGTGCCTGACCTGACAAATGTGCTTCTGGAAGAATGGTCCAACCTTCCCATAGACACCCTCCTAAACCTTGTGGACGGCCTTCCCAAAAGAGTTGAAGCTGTTATAGCTGCAAAGGGCGGGGCCAACTCAATATTGAACCCTACGGACTAAGACTGGGAGGCCATTAAAGGTCATGTGCGTGGAAAGGGCCGGCGGACCAATACGTATGGCAATATAGTGTGTGTGTATATATATATAAATGAATCCTCTCTTCTATTAATGCTGCTTTTACATCGGTGTGGACATCAGTGTTTGGCACATTGATTTCTGCTTGACAAGAAGAGAAGTGTGGAGGTTTCCGTTTTTGATTTTTGAAAATCCCAGCCTGGCTGTCATGCTAAACCCAAAAGTTTCAACACCTTCAGAGCCCCGGAGAAGATCTGATTTTCTTCCTGCATGCTAGTTTCAGGTCAGACACTTAAGCAGGCCATAGACAGGTCGAAAACCGGCTGTTTAAAAAAAAAAAAAAAAACAATGAAAAATCGGTCGTTCGATCGGCTGACGTTACCACCAACGGTAAAAAAAATCGGCCGATTTTCATCCCATCCATGGTCGGCATTTAACCCCATAATTACTTCTGTCCATTGCAGAGACGGGAATTCCAGTCCACTATTATATTTTATATGAAAAAGTCTTGCGGTTGCAACAAATGTATCCATACAGATGTATTTATTCGGATACAAGTGGATACATTGTTGCAACCGCAAGACTTTTCATATAAAATATAATAGCAGACTTTAGAATAAAGAACGGAGCCGCTGTTCAGTGACACCTGTACATTCCATAGCGCAGTCACGGGGCAGTCTTTTTTTTCTTTCTTTCTTTTCTTTCTTTTCTTTCCTTTCTTCCTTCCTTTCTTCCTTTCTTCCTTCCTTCCTTCCTTTCTTCCTTTCTTCCTTCCTTTCTTCCTTTCTTCCTTTCTTCCTTCTTCCTTCCTTCTTCCTTTCTTCCTTCCTTCCTTCTTCCTTCCTTCCTCTTCCTTTCTTCCTTCCTTTCTTCCTTCCTTTCTTCCTTTCTTCCTTTCTTCCTTCCTTTCTTCCTTCCTTCCTTCCTTTCTTCCTTTCTTCCTTCCTTTCTTCCTTCCTTTCTTCCTTTCTTCCTTTCTTCCTTTCTTCCTTCCTTCTTCCTTTCTTCCTTCCTTTCTTCCTTTCTTCCTTCCTTCCTTCCTTTCTTCCTTTCTTCCTTTCTTCTTCCTTTCTTTCCTTCCTTCCTTCTTCCTTCCTTCCTTCCTTCCCTTTCTTCCTTTCTTCCTTTCTTCTTTCTTCCTTTCTTCCTTTTCTTTCTTCCTTTCTTCCTTTCTTCCTTCCTTCCTTTCTTCCTTTCTTCCTTTATTCCTTCCTTTCTTCCTTTATTCCTTCCTTTCTTCCTTTCTTCCTTTCCTTTCTTCCTTCCTTTTTCTTTCTTCTTTCTTTCTTCCTCTTCTCCTCCTCCTCAGATTTTTTTATCGGTAAAACGATCAGCCAATTTGCCCATCATTGCCGGGAAAATTGGCCGATCAACAAAATCAGCCACGAATTTTCCAACATGACCGATAAAAAAAAAAATGTGCCAAAACTCCGAAAAACAGCCAACCAATTAACCCACTAACAGTGCGAAAATCAGCCGATTTTTTTTTTTTTTTCGTCCTATTTTCGACCCGTCTATGGCCGGCATAAGGGCCGGGTCACACCAAAAAAACACTCCAGATCCGTTCCAGATGTTTTTTTGGCTTGCGTGTTTTTAATGTGTTTTTTTATGCATCTCAGATGCTTTTGTTCTTTCTTCCTGTTTTTTTTTTTTTTTATTGTACTGGGGTACAGTGCATTTTGTTGTGTTCTGGTGCATTTTTTATGCATTTTATTGTGTAAAATACAGCATGTTCTACCCTTTTTTTTTTTCTGAAACTGACTGCACTGTGTGAACTATGCCGTTAGAAATCATATAACCCACTTTACATGTGGTTTTGATGCAGAAAAGAAAAGCCCTGGACCGCATGTGGTGTGAACTGCCCCTTAAATTGCCAGGCAATTGTCAATTCCAAAGGCTCCCAGCAATGGCAGACTGTTTTTCAGTACAGGGGAGATGCAATTGGATCTGTCACTCATGCCATGCAGAATGCAGGAGAATGTACTGATCCAATACATGGTTCCTTCAGTTCTCATTTTGCTACCCTGGTTGTACCAACAAGCAGAACCTTCATATGTACAATGCAGTGTAAGAACTATTACCTCCTTTAAATGGCTGTAAACATATAAAAAATACAAGCCATAAAAATGAATATATTTTGACTCATTCCATTTACTATTTTTCTAAACTAATCTAAATGTAATGGATGCAAAATTTTTACTTTAAAAGATGCTACAAAATTACATTTTTAATGGTTGAAAAATTAAGAGTTTGAAAGAAAAAAAAAAGTGAAATATGGACGTTTAGAAATATATTTTTTTTTAATATATCTCTTAAACTGTTTTTTTTTTACTGTTTCATTTACCCATTTAAAAAATGTTATTGCTTTTTAAATATTTCAAGTTTTTTTTTTTTTTTTTTAAGCTACCCGTCTCTTTTAATTCAACTTA